GAACCAAACAGGTCGGAAAAGCGGAGGGAGTAGGAGTAGGGTTGGGTGGACCGATAGGGCAGAGGAGCGGAACCCCAGATAGGGTCGGATGGAAGGGGTATGGGGTCGGAGGACATAGGGGTAATGTCGGAAAAGCGGAATGGAGTCGGGTGGAGGTAGCAGGGCTAATCCTACTAAGATGCACTTCGTGCATTGTCGGGGAAGGAGGAATGAAGTGGATGGGGAAACAGGGGGTCGCACCAGGGGTGGGGATGTTCATGGGTGGTATTGGAGGTGCTCAGATCCGGTATATGACAGTGTACTTCAAAATTGATTGGAAGTCAAGAGAATACAGATAAGATGGACGAGCCTCCTGTGTCACAATCATAATCAGCCACATACTGCAGTCACTTTACCCTTGATTAATACATACAGCCAAGGTTGAAAAATCCCTGTTCCACACAGGCCAGCCAATGTGGGCCCATCAATGTATTGTTCTGTTAAATACAGGTGGGCTGATGTCAAGTATTTATCTGATACAATCAGTGGGCCCATGGTATGTGGTGTAGTAGATAAGCATAGACATTTCTATTGACTGTGGTAGATAGTGTATGGTAGGTAGTGTATGAAATATGTACCTGATATGAACAGGTGGGCCCATCACAAGTGTGTATTTGATACCAACAGGTGGGCCAGTCAAAGTGTGTTTGTGATACCAACAGTGGGCCCATGGTATGTATTGTAGTAGATAAGTGTAAACTTTTCCATTGACTTTGGTAGGTAGTGTATGAAGTATGGTGATAATGAAAAAAAAATGAAAGTTGTTATTTTGCTTAACTTTGTTAACAAAAGTTGTAGTCCAAGTCAAGGTGAGCACATCCGTAGTCTTTTCTTGTCAATTGGTTATTATCTGACCGAGATATAAGCTAAAGAAATCTGAAACATCGACGATAATGAAAAAATGAAAGTTGTAGTCTGAGTCTAGGTGAGTGTATTGGTAGTCTTTCCTTGTCAATTGGTTATCATTTGACCAAGATATAAGCTAAAGAAATCCAAAACATTGGCCGACCAAGATATGACCGAAATCCAAAACATCGGTGACAATGAAAAAAAATGAAAGTTGTTATTATGATTAACTTTGTCAACAAAAGTTGTAGTCTGAGGCTAAAGAAATCTGACACATCAGCAGACCAAGACATGACTGAGATATAAGTTGAAGCAATTGGTGATCATGAAAAACATGAAAGTTGGTATTATGCTTCACTTTCTTAACAAAAGTCATAGTCCAAGTCAAGCTGATTGTATTTGTAGTCTTTTCTTGTCAATTGGTTATCATTTGACTGAGATACAACTTGGAGGCTATACTGTTAGCATTATTTTATTCCACTGGGGTATATTCATTGGCAATTCACAAAACATATCCCGTTTTGGTGATGCTGACCTCCTCCCCACATTATTCCCACACCCCACCTACTGTGGGAATTACCCCACAACACCAAAAACATCGCCCATTTTGGGAATCTCCACAATATCAATTATTCCCACACCCTCCTCATATCACTGCAGCTTCACCACCACACCACAATAGCTTCCCCTTCATATATAAGTAGTAGTTTGGTATATATATGTATAATATAATATAATAGACCGCTTTTTTGTATATTTGTATGCCTGCTTCTCCTCCAGGACCCTTTCAAAATGATGTAGGATACAAAACATTCTCGCACTTTTGCCCCTTTGAGAAGGAAGTGTCCCGGGGCATTAAGAACATGTTTAGTAGTATATATGAAGAGATTCCCAACTTTATTTGACCCCCTGAAGCGCCCTACATCAATGCATATAGCATATATACATAAAAATACAAAGTTTGTTCCTATGTGTTTATGTCTAGGTGAATAGACCTTGAAATTATATCCCCGTCATCTATTCAGCAATAGAAACAATCTATCAGGAGCCCAGGACCATAGTAGAATCCCTTATTGTATAGTGTACCCCCCCTCTCCTGGTGGTTAGTGATGTTCAAGGCCCGGCTCGGCTCAAAAGCCGGGGCCACGGCTCGGCCTTGGAGGGCTGGGGCTTGCTTCAAACCAAGGCCAGGCCCTATGGTAGGGCTCAGGCTTGGCAGGGGCTCGGCTCAGCTTGGGCCTAGGGCCTTGTGATACAAAAATGTAGCAAGTAAATCAAATTTCATCTAACATTTGAATAAAAACATCTTCGTCATCTGATTCTAACAGCTCCTCATTCTCACCTAAATCCTCGGCAACATCATCCCACCCATCATCTTCATTGAGAGCAGCAGGAGTCTTATCTTCGGACAATTCATCATCTACAGACTCGGTTGCAACAGATGGGTCCTTGCGAAACAGGAGATCGTGTTTGATCATGCCTAGCAAGCACTGCAGTGCTTCGATGATGTCGTGTTTGAGACGATTTTGGCGCTTGGAGATAGTAATACCGGCAGATGAGAATGCACGTTCACTGGACACGGATGTGGCCATAATGGAAAGGAAGTCATGCGCGAGTGATGCCCAGACTGGGTATCGAGGTGCATTGATGCCCCACCACTGCACAATAGTCATATCTCCAAGGTGGTCCTTGGAGTTGAGGTAAGCGTGAAAGTCGTGCTGCCACGGCTCATTCACAGCTTCGGAGGGAGTAACAGAACTTGTGGAACTCGTGCGAGAGATTAGGGTGGGCTGCAGCATCGAGTCACTGTCATCCTCGCCGTCAGAGAGCTCTTGCAGCAGAGCATCGAGTTTGTGATTCCCTGTCTTCCTGACCTTGACTTCGACACCATTCCTAGAGTTGGGATTGTTGCTGTACATTTCGAGATACCGTTCTTTGTACTAGATGTAACATTAGTGAGTGTGTTGTGATGACAGCTTTGGAATTGTACTTACCATCTCCTCTGCATGTCTGCGTGCTTCGACAAGCAATTCCTCACCCCAATACTTGCGAATATGGGTCTCCTTTTGTGACGGATCGAGAACTGTCATTGGAAAGTCAGTGGGAGTAATATGTACATGAAAGAACGACACATGCATCACCATAATATGGGCGTCAGAACTACTCGACTTCTCGTAATACTTTGCAATCTTCTCAATACCAGCATCGAGGCCCTCCACAAAATCGAGATACTTGATGCGTCCAGAACGTGACGACCATGCGCTATGCAACGACTCTAATGCAGGCAATGCTAAGTGAAGCATTGGTCCTTGTTCAGATGAGAAGGACTGCTGTGACAACTCGGCATACTGTAGTTTCGATGTGAGCCACAATTCAAGTTGTAAGATAAAAATACATACACTGAGGATTGAGAGCAGACGTTGAACACAGGTCCACTCTTCGGATGATAGCTCAAGGTCCGTAATCTTTTTCCGTTTAGCTGAGTCCTTCTCTTGCAAACCGAGCCGGCCCAAAAAATAGTCAACTTCCTAATAAACATCAGCGGGCACAACATTGACATCCTAAATTGAACTTACATCTTGCAGCTCAAATGCACGTTGAAGCATAGTGTACGTTGAGGACCACCTTACTTTCATGTCGAGAAGCAATTGTTGTGGATGTTTGATTGGCGTGTGGCCATCTTCGTCTCGACGCTGGACACTCTGAAAAAGCTCCTTTCATTGAGCTGAGGAGCGCTCCTACAATGAAGGATGTCAACACAACATATGTGCATTTGATGGACGGCAAACCTTGAGACAGATTGATCGGACTAATCCAACCTTGTCTCATTCAAGTGTGGAGTGAGTTGCGGGGGCTAGCAAATTATTGTTAGGTTGGGTGGCATCATAGTATCTTGACTTGCTGTGTGTGGACAACAGCGCCTGAGTTGTGAGGTTGATAATGTGGGCCAAGCACCTGAATATATAAGTGAGAATTGGTAGTAGTAAACAAGACAAAGAAACTCTTACCGAAGGCGCCGTTTTTTATGATCAAATGTCTTCTTGGTGTGTGCCTCGATGTGGACTGCGAAATGTTCCATCATGGTATCATTGTTGGCTGCGTTGTCGCACGTAATATAGCCAATCTGAAACTCCATTAGCGCCACACTGTTATGAAGCTAGAATTTTACTTACTTTATGCACAATCCCAACACATTTAACTAATTTGAACAGCGCTTGACTGAGACGGATGCCATTGTGAGCATTGTTCAGTTGAGTAAAGCCGAGAAGGGCACTTTGAACTGTCCAAACACCGACTGTTGTTTCTTCGATCCAGTGACCAGTGAGGGCAAAATAGCCATCGACATTCAATGCTTGCCAGGCGTCGCATGTCAGATTGATCCGTCCTTTGACAGCGTCGCTCTTGTTGTGGTTCGCATTAGAAATAACGACAAAAAAAATCAACAAGACTTACAAGTAACCGTCGGCGAAGGTTGGTGAGATTACGCTTGAAGAGGTCGATAATGGCTCGGCGCATCTTTGGTCGACTAGGTAGCTTGACACCATTGGTAGCTCATGCTGCTACATTGATCATATATTTGAAGGACTTGTGGTTGAGTGCGTCAATAGGCTGTGAACTGATAAGTGTCCAATTGCCAGAATTAAATAAAAAAACATACCTGGTCAGTTTCAATCAGCCATTCAATGGCAGCCTCGCGGAAGATTGCATCTGAGTATGGGATGATCCGTTCCTTTGGTTGCGGCTCACAGAGGTGGGCGTCGAGTTGTGCTTGAGAGTCAGCAGCAGCATCTAGCTTGCGGCGCTTGGTGTCTTTTGGTAATATCGAGACAAATTTCTTGGCTTCGGCCCATGTAAGATATTCATTCTATGAATGAACAGTTAGTAGCATGTTTTCTCGGGTTGGCAATACTTACCCTGTGCGAAGCATCCATATGGCGTCGCATAGTTGTCACCTCATTGACAAAAGCAACAGGATTTTTCATTTTCTTGCTATCGCGTAGTCAGTACAATGTGTGTGAGACAGAAATGTAAATTTACCTGCACAGTTGACAATTCCGGTGCTTCTTGCCTTTGTCAGCGTAAGGCTCGGAAAAAAACTTGGTGATGTCGCGACTTCACTGCTCTTGACGTGGGTTTTCAGAGGCCTCGTCGATGCTCATGACTTGAACATCCTTGAGGAAGCCATCAGCATCAACTTCATCAGAGTGGTTTGCTGAACTAGTTGCATGCGGTGCGTTCACTACATATGTCAAATAAATGTCAGTATTATGTATTTGTTTCATTCGGTAGGACAACTCACCAGTTGATGGACTTGCATCGTGTTCAGTCTCATTTGCGTGTTCGGGAGGATCAGGGCTATAAGCTCGTTTTTTGCCTGTAATGATGTAGGTATTAGTCAGTACTTATCCAACAAAATAGTATAAACACACCTTTCATCAGTCGCTTTTTGTGTGTGCTGCCCGTCAGCTCGATATCATTGTTGTCATCGTCAACCTCAACGATGGTGACTTTGTGGCTATGAGAACTTGTAGGAGATGCAGAAGGAGCATTGGCAGCATGACTTGCATCATTGTGAGCCCGCCTGTGTGAAGCTAATTCTTGATCAGCAGCATTATCCGCACAAATTACCTTCGCTGATGGCACAGCAACATGTTTAGGGCGTGCCGTACTAGTAGGTGGTTCCTTGCCGTCGGAATAGACGCGCAGCACCATATGTGGATGACCTGTTGAAAATTCAAAAACTCAAATTAGTTTATCCTAGACAGCTGAGGCTTTGAAACTATTGCAGTTTCACAGTCATTGCCGACTGAATGAAAACATACCTGAAAGCTGTGGCCTGAAAGCCCTGCTCTGGCCTGGACACAACTTGAGCCAGGCCCTAAGCCTTCATAGGCCATCTACAAAGCCTGGCTAGGCTTGGCCTAAGTGGGCCCGGCTAGGCCCGGCTCACGGCCTGAAGCCGGTGTGGGTACAACAAGTGCAGCGGAGAGAAATTGATCTACTACACAGTTGGGTCTTTGCTGCCTGCTGCCTTGCTTGGGAACAAGTGCGTTCGACCCTTAAGGGGATTGCTACTGGGGAATACTAGTCTCTGTCTAAAACGACCCTATAGGATGAAAGATCCGCAAAAGTGGATGAAGCGGATAGGATGTGAAATGTACAGATTCATTGGATGGAGCGGATGGCACTTGCGGATCGGATGGGATGTGAATCAAAGTTGAAGGAAGTTCATTAAAGGTTAGATGGATAGTGAGTATAAGTCAAAGCGATCTTCTGGTAGGGTGCAGGAAAAGTGGGAGAAAGTTACATGAAGTAAGTATTTTTCGAAACCCTCCATGCTTATAGGGTACAGTATTTTCAAGGAACATAGATATATAGGTAACGAGTCTAGACCGTGCCATAAGCTATCTGAAAAATACTGGAGTGTGAGAGGATATGTCTGTGTTCAGTCAGTAACAAGAAAATGCGTGTGAGTACGTACCAATGAGGTAGAATGGATGTGGACAGGACGGATGCGGCGGATGCGCGAGCTATAGGGGGAGATCCGAAGGTATCCGCATGTCATCTGAAAAGCGGATGTGTATCGGATGGAATGCATCAGGAAATGTGCAGAGGGGCCTGGATGGCCTGGAGAGTCTGGCTCCAGGCTATCAGGCGACCAGATTTGAGCCTGGGTCCACATGAATCTGCCATGACCAGATTGGCATGACTGGTACCAGATCACCACCAGATAGCTTACAGGTCCTTGACAGATGGCTTACAGATCACAACCAGGCATGGAACAGACATGATGAAAGCACCAGAATTGATCACATTCATTAGCGAAAAATGTAGTATAATACTAGTGTAAGCGCTGGTCAAAGACACAAGGCACTTTGAAAATAATTAGACCAGTAAACTCGTGACTCGGTAAGACTCACTAGCCTAAGAATTCTCTTCATCGTTGTCCAAGAGGGGAATGGCATTACGAACATCCATGGAATCGTCATCCAAGGCAACATGGACATGACGGACAAGAGAGTCTTCACCTACGAGCTCCCACATCCCATCCACAATCTGATCCCACTTTTTATCTGGGAGTTGAGCCATCTGCAGGGAGTACTGCATAGCGACACTGCCCCATGCTGCATTGAAGGAGAGGTTTTTCGTGGGCTGGGAAGGGAGACCGGCACACTTCGCGTCCTTGGCAGCTTCTTTCGCAGAATCCCCATCTTTGTACAAAAATAGTGCGCGGTGCGCCTGCAAAATGGAGGTTAGTAGGACTTTACTAGTAACCACTGAGAATTTCGGACTCACCGCAGCTGCACAAACCCCTAATGCACCTGCAGGTTTCCCAAATGCTTGAAATGATGTTCCACAATGCCTCGCATGTGCCGCAAGTAACTCCAGGAGCATGGGAGCCAACCACAATCCTTTCAGACCCTGTGGTGGCACCGTCACGGTGAGGACCAATAATGATTGTAAGTGATGCTGACATACCTCATGATCAGTGTAAATGAATGGCACGCGTTTTTGACCATCTATTTTTTGAGGCAGGCGATCTTGGACGAATTTGATACAAGCGTTGGTGTCGAGTCGATATTCTGCTTTTTTGAGTTCACGTTCGAGAATCTTGATGGCATTTTTCCCAAGCATACTCCGCCACTCATTCAGCCGGTCCGTTGCCTCAAAGCCGAAGTTATGGCATCAGCATTCGAGGTACCCAAACTAGTACACCGTGACATACCACTTTTTTGATAGCAGGACACTTTGCAACATTGACCTTGTTGTGCATGAAGAGAACATCCCACAGTTCCTGCAGCTTGCCAGAGACCTCTGGGTGTTCATTCGTACCGAAGGGATCAGTAGTCATCCCAGCCCAATCGATCAGCGCATAGATTAATCAAGCCCATATCTCGTTGTCCTTCTTATCGACAAAAGGTAGGTCTTCGAGCTTTAACTTTTTGAGTGGCTTTGATTTATCTTCTGAGCGTCTTATTTCTTCCACCACAGCATCATCAGCTCCCTTTCGCGTCAACATCAAGCCCATCTGAATACAACAGACTTGTCAGTAAACACTTGTGTAAGCAGCAGTTGGGTACATTAGCAGTGACTCGCGCTGACTTCGTTCCTGTGGCACCGATTTTCTTTGGCAGTTTGGGGTTGCTGCCCTTATGCTTTCGAGTCGCAGCCAGTGACTCTGGTGTCTCATCGTGGTCAAACTCTCCGTCTCCATCTTCTTCAAATGTCGGTGTGGTCGCACGACTCATAGTGCTGCGTGATGATGCACCCAACATTGAACGGGAACGTGTCTCCGAGGCTGCAGGTACGAGTTCTTCATCCGAAACTCTAATCAAACTGTACCTCACCGATTTTGTTGTCATCCCCACGATTTTCTTCCAGTCAGCTTGCAAGTTGCTCGAATGTGCACCCTTCGCACGTTTAGTCTGCGATGAACCACTAATTTTTGCTCGGTAAGTCAATCAGGAAAAATTCAATGCTGGTACTGACCGTTCAGCTGTGTCAGGTTCCTGTGATTCAGTCTCCTTGCGCTTCCTCGCCATGGTTCCTGCTGTTGCTGTGGTCTTCCTTGCCTTCATGATTTCTTCTCGTAAGAACCGTTTCTGAATAGGTAAGAGTCGTTGCGTGTCCGATATCAATTTAAATCACATTTACTCACTTTCTCTTTTGATGCAGTGCATTTCTTACCCTTCTGAGCCTTACGGACTTCTTCTTCGACACTACTACTGCCGTCATGCTCCTCAGGCTCGCCATCCTCACTATCATCGCCAGTCTCCCCCTTGGAGCTTTGGGACTCCGAGCCAGATGGCTGAAAAGCTTCATCTGAATCTGGATCCTCATCATTGCTAGCAGCTGTTTTGAATCAGGTAAGCTTTCTATCTCATGTTTGACTGACTCAGATAGCGACTTGACCTTTTGCAACAGAATAGTAACCCGATGTGTTTGCCTGTGGGCGATAGGGTGGGGTATCTTTGCCATAATTGCGATCGTCTCTTTTTAGTGAGTCTTCCATTGCAGCAATGTGTTTGATGCCATCTTCATGTTCCTTCTCTACTTTAGCTGCTTCTTCCTGGTTTTTTTCTGCTGCTGCTGCATCTTGGGCTCGCTTTTCTGCTGGTGTCCAGCGCTTGGTTTTACCCTCAAGTAGAACTTTGGCGGGGTGAGTATTTGCATTTGAGCGATTTGGCCGAGCCATCATGATGAAGAAGAAGAGAAAGAGGTGAAGGATTAAGGCTTGTTGGAGATCTGCTGTCAAAAAATTTCCAAGGTTTGTTTCCAGCAAACAAACTGTCTTACCTTACCAATATCTTGCGCCTGACTTGTCACTCAGGTCCGTCCCAATACTATTATGCTGAGCTGACTTGCATGTTCGTTTGCGGGGTGTCCTGAAACCTTCAAATCTCAATGTGGACGGACAAAGCACATTCGAACCTATCATGGTTCTGTTGATGCCATCCCCGATCCAACCACTGCTGACTCAAACCCTCATTCCGACTCGGACCCCCAAGATTTCAATTTCAATTTCGACTGTGACCTCATCAGTGACGACTATTTTGCTGATCACAATGATCACAATCCTCACTCAGAAGGACACTCCAATCCACATCAATCACAGTACATACCTCACCCACATCTCCATGGTAAGTCAAATACAATCACAAAAAGATGAGTAAACTTGAACTCTCTCTAGGTGATCCTTGTGACCTTGAAGGCAACCCTCTTCCTCCAAATGCCCCCAAGCCTGATCGCTATGTAGGCCCTCAAGACAGCTGGGCACCCTTTGGCAATCAAGCTGAATACTTACTTGCGGACTTCTTGTTCCGAAAAGAGGAGATGTCTGCCCCCAACATTGATTTTCTGATGGAGTTATGGGCATTCAAAGCGGCCAAGTACGAAGAGGACAGCCCATTCAAATCTCACCGTGATGTATATGCCACAATCGATGCGATCCGTGTGGGTGACGTGCCTTGGCAATGTTTCTCTGTATCACCACAACATGACCTTGACTCCGACGTGCCCCAGTGGCAACAGACTGATTATCAAGTATGGTATCGAGATCCCGATGCTGTCATACAGGCCATGCTGGCAAATCCTGACTTTGATGAGCAGTTTGATTATACCCCATATGTTCATTATGACCAGTCGGGGAAGCGGCGTTGGAAGGATTTCATGTCTGGCAACTATGCGTGGCGCAAGGCCGTGAGTATCCTGACTTATAATCTTCACAAATATCTCACTGACATTGGCACTTGCAGGACACCATATACGAGAATGACCCATCAACGGAAGGATCCATGTACGTTGGAGTCATCCTTGGAAGCGACAAGACAACGGTATCCATTGCCACTGGTCATGTCGAGTATCATCCATTGTATTTGTTGATCGGAAATCCACACAATTGTGTCAGGCGAGCTCACCGTAACGCAGTCACTCCCATCGGGTTTCTTGCCATTCCAAAGGATATGTGACATAGTACTATTAGGTGCCTTCTTGACACTATTTTTCAGCTGATCGCAAATATGATAACAACGTTCAATTTCGAACCTTCAAGTGCCAGCTTTATCATTCGTCCCTGGCAGCCATCCTTAAGTCACTTGAAGGTCCAATGACGAAGCCAATTGTCCGTTGATGCCCCGATGGACATTTTCATCGAGTCATCTATGACTTGGCAGCTTTTATTGCCGACTATCCTGAACAAGTGATGCTTGCTGGAATTGTGCAAAATTGGTGTGCGAAGTAAGTGGACTGCGGATTTGACTTGGATAGCTTTGTTTGACTTACACTTGGTTACAGGTGCACTGCACTGCCTGAGGATCTCGATGGGAGCACTGCCGAGTGTCATACTCAAGAATATACCAATGCGCTAGTCAAAACTTTCAATTCGGATGTGTTGTGGGATCAGTATGGGATAGATTATGATATTGTGGTAAGTCTTGTTAAACTTGAACATTTGCATGCGTGTTTGATCAAAATGGACCTTTAGCCCTTTACAAACAATTTTCCACGTGCCGATATACATGAAATGCTGTCACCAGACCTCCTTCATCAAGTTATCAAGGGATGCTTCAAGGATCATCTGGTTACTTGGACGGGCGAGTATCTGAAGGAAGTCCACAGTGAGGCACATGCCAATGAGATCATCGATGATATAGATCACCGGTGCGTCATACTTCTTGCAGCTGCGAGAGTTGTACTGATCCTCTTGATGTTGACTTGCAGAATTGCTGCAACACCAGCATTCCCTGGCCTGCGAAGGTTTCCCGAAGGTCACCACTTCAAACAATGGACCGGGGATGACTCGAAGGCATTAATGAAGGTAAATACTCATCACGTCTTACTCTGGTCGAAATCTAAATCACTCGCACTTGTACACTGACAGGTATACATCCCTGCAATTGTGGAGTATGTTCCTCCCCAGCTTGTTGCATGCCTCAGCGCATTCCTGAATTTTTGCTACCTTGTACGACGGTCCGAACTTGGAGAAGACTCTTTGGCTGAAATAAAACAGGCCCTACACCATTTTCACGAGGCCCGCGAGATTTTTCGTGACTCTGGGGTCCGGCCAAAGGGTTTCGCACTGCCACGTCAGCATTTGATGGTACACTATATCCGTCTGATTCAAGAATTCGGTGCTCCGAATGGCCTATGCTCCTCAATCACCGAGTCTCGCCATATCACAGCAGTCAAGAAGCCATGGTGTCGATCGAATCGGTATGATGCGCTTGGGCAGATGCTGCTCACAAACCAGCATCTTGACAAGCTCACGGCTGCATATGTTGACTTTGTGGCACGAGGACTTCTGCCAGCCTCACATGCACCCCCACCCAGGCGCGGCCTTGACTTCATGGATGAGGGTATCGAGAATGGTGCACCAGACATTGAAAGAGTCCAAGGATCAGTTGTTTTGGCACGCAGCCCTCATACGTCGTTCTTCAGTATATCTGAATACAGCAATACTAATTACATCTGCAAACATCCAGAACGTGGCTATCCTCGGACACTCGAGACACTCACAGCGCATCTCCAGCAGCCCAACCTTCCTTTACTTCCTCACGAGTTCCTTTCCAGCCAATTGAACCCTGGAGCAGCTCTGATCGACTGGAACGACTTACCACGGATCGACGGTCCAATTGCTGTGTTTCATTCTGCCGTGGCTACTTTCTTGGCACCCAGTGATGTCTCTGGGACCCACAGCATGCATCAGGGAGTTGATTCAGTTGCACTCCATTGTGGCGTCGCAAGCATCCACGTCATGATTGTGTCTTTGTGGTTGAAGACCAGGAAAAGGCTGGAATGAGGGGTATGATTATTGGGAGGGTCAAGCTATTTTTTTCGTTTGCTTTTAAGGGTGTGACATACCCTTGTGCATTGATTGACAGGTTTTCACGGATGGGGAGAGGCCCAGATTTGATTACGGGCATGTGGAAGGTGAAGCCTGAGGTGTTCAGGGCAGCATAGGACTCGTGTTCAGTCTGTCGAGCATGTTGACACAATCCTTCGAAGTGCTCATCTCATCCCTGTCTTTGGCAGCGGTCCCCTCCCCGATGGTTTTCATTTTGCTCATTCTCTTGACGTGTTCAATTCTTACTATGTAAATAAGTATGCAGATCATCATGCACATGAAATTGTGTTCTGAGTATACATGGTATATCTAAGCACGCAGGCAATTTTTTCAGCTCTTCTAATTGAACCTTACATTCAGCATCACAGCGAGCTCGCTCAGCATTCCAGTGTGCTTCAATGAGCCCTTCAAGGTAGTCAGCAGGGACTGCGAGAGTTTCAACTTGGGGGCTCAGGGGATTCAGGTGTCTTTCGCTTGTTGAGTACTTCAAGATATTCGGGTGCTGTGCACAGTGGTGAATGATATGGTCTGCTATTGGGAGATGAGAGGTAGAGCCTCATACTGTATTCGAAAGGGTCATTGGGATCATTACAGAGTTTGAGACACCGGAAAAGATGACTGGTGAAAGGTAAGTCACAACATGGTGTTTTGAAGAACTCAGAGTTGACTCACAGTTTTTTTTTGCGAGGGGCATGTCCTTCTGTGTTGGGGCCTTCCTCGTCATCTGAGAGTATGCCTGATTTGGTTGGACTCGGAGTTGGGGGTTCAGAGCGCGAGCTAGTAGTATACACATGCCAGTGTCAGTAGCCCTAGTAGTAATAGTATTAGTAGCCTAATAATGAATTTGCTTACCGTTTAACTCCAACATGTTTGGGTGTTGTAGGGATGGAATCACGAGCCTGAAGATTCGAGTGACATTATGGAAAATGTATGGTACACTGGTATAGTATGAGTAAGAGGTCTACTACATCTTTTTTTGCTGCGGTTGATTCATCTGTCGTGCATGAGAATGAAATTCCTACCAGACGTTCAGGTTGTCCAGGTTGCTTCCAGGACGTTCAGGTGGTGACCAGGTGTTGACAGGCCTTTGCACATTTGCTGATGTGGATAGGTGTTGGATGGACGTCGGATGGACGCCTGATGCATCGGACAAGTGGTGGATACAAGCCTAGCGTAGGGATACTCCCTACACCAGGCCTTGAACATCACTACTGGTGGTTTACCCCCTGGGAATTTTTTTCCTGTAGGACCGGACCTCAAGGATAGTAGGGAGTCCATTCCTATGCATATTTGGAGTAGATATATCATATAGCCAGCCCAGGGCACACACAGGATCCTTCTACAGGAACGAAGCATAGAAAATTGCACTTTTGACATTTTTCATGTTTTTCAGTATCTTGCCCTTGCATCAATGATCCAACCTGTTAATATATAATGAGCATAGCATATATACTTGCTTTTTCTGACCAAGATCAGCTCACAATGGGCCGGAGTTGTGAGCTAGTGTGTATGCTTGCTATTTCTACTGATAAGGGGCCCATACCTTCAAAACATCGAATCTTAATAATCAGAAACCTGGTGTACATTTAAAATATATTCAGTATCATATATGTAAATTTACAGAACAATCCACCAAGAATTGAGTGCTGAGGAAGTGAAATAGATAAGAGGTTGAGTGTGGGAAACTTCAAAGACCCAAAGTATCGAAAATGGTCAGTTGAGGAGTGGTAGGACTTTAATGCTATGTCAACTCATATTTTCACTACATCCCTTCCACCCACCCCCTACCCTCAGGGCAGTAGGTAGTATGGGTTCCTTAGGTAGTTTACAGTCTATCCTACATATTTTTAATGAAATCTTCGACCTGAATCATATATAAATGTGACTTTGTGTAAAAATATGTCTATTGTCATTTTTCACACATATGTCATTTTGCCTGTCATTACATCAATCCTTTACGGATCTTTCTAAGCTTTTAGGGCTATTATAAGGGACATATATAGGAGTTATTCCAGGTCTCTGATCACGTATCAGAGACTTGTTATCATATAGGCATCTGATCAGTAGAAATACCCCCTCTACATCATATCTCAAGTTTCTGCCCAGTATCTGACTGATCCTTAGTGCAATTGACAAGAAGTCAAGTTGCAAGACCAAGAAAGACTGAAATTGGACTGAAAAAGACTGGACTGCAGTTGCTGGTTGCCTCAGGTCCCTGGCCCATCCAGTTGCAGTTGCCTACCTGTTGCAAAAGCCGAAAGACCGCTCCAGGACCAATTTCAACCGGTCATTTTAGACCTGGTTGCCTAGAAATGGGTAGTACTCATCTAGGCGAACACATTGGTGGTCTAATCTTCAAAAACGGTTCAGATCTGAGAAAGTTATGAGCCTTACAAGACAGACACAATAAAATTGGTTTTGCTTAATGTATCACCAACATTTTCGATTTATTTAGCTGATGTTGGTGTTTTCATTTTTCATTATGAAAGTTTCTTTGGCTTATATCTCAGTCATATCTCGGTCTGCCGATGTTTTGGATTTCTTTAGCATATATCTCAGTCAAATGATAACCAATTGACAGGAAAAGACTACCAATATGCTCACCTTGACTCAGACCACAACTTTGTTAACAAAGTTAAGCATAATAACAACTTTCCTTTTTTTCATTATCACCAATTTTCAGTCATATCTCAGTCGGCCAATGTACCTTGACTCGGACTACAGACTACCAAGTACCAAGTACTGTATTCAACTACCAAGTATCAACTACCGAGTCCTGACACTCGGTACTCAGTACTTGGTACTCAGTACAACTTTCATTTTTTTCATTATCGCCGATGTTTCGGATTTCTTTAGCTTATATCTCAGTCAAATGATAACCAATTGACAGGAAAAGACTACCAATATGCTCACCTTGACTTGGACTAATACTTTTGTTAACAAAGTTAAGCATAATAACAACTTTCATTTTTTTCATTATCACCAATGTTTTGGATTTCTTTAGCTTATATCTCGGTCAAATGGTAACCAATTGACAAGATGAGACTACCAATATACTCACCTTGACTCAGACTATCCCGGTCAAATGATACTCGGTCCGCTGATGTTTCGGGTTTAGGTGAGTGTATTCATAGTCTTTTCTTGTCAATTGGTTATCATTTAACTGAGATATAAGCTGAAGAAATATGAAATATTGGTGATTATCATTTGACCGAGTAAGCTAATGAAACCCAAAACATCGGCCGACCGAGTATCATTTGACCGAGATATAAACTAAAGAAATCTGAAACATCAGTGATAATGAAGACTGAGATTTAAGCTGAAGAAATCCTGAAACATTGGTGGGCCAAGTATCATTTGACTGAGATACAAGCTGAAGAAATATGAAACATTGGTGATTATCATTTGACTGAGTAAGCTAAAGAAAAACCTGAAACATTGGCAGACCGAGTATCACTTGACTGAGATATAAGCTAAAGAACTCCGAAACATCAGTGGTACACCAAGCAAAACAAATTTTATTGTGTCTATCTTGTAAGGCTCATAACCTTCTCAGATCTGAACCGTTTTTGAAGATCACACCACCAATGTATTTGCCTAGATGAGTACTGCCCATTTCTCGGCAACCAGTTCCAAAATGATTGGTTGAAATTGGTCCTGGAGTGGTCTTTCATTTTGCGGAAAACACATTAATTTGAATAAATGATGTTTGTTGAATGCTGATGTCATCTCACCTTGTGACCAGCTGACCAACCAACCGACTGACTGACCAACCAACCAACCAACCAACCAACCAACCAACCAACCAACCAACCAACCGACTGACTGACTGACTGACCAACCAACCAACTGTGAAAATGGAAGCCATGGGCTGAGCTGAGACAATTGGAATTTTATGACATTTGCCATTGGCCAATCAATACACATGGGAAAAGACCATCGGCTGGCCAATACTTACAGACAGCACATTCCATTGGCCCATCCAATAGCATCAGTGCTATTGGCCAACCTGATAGTATCAGACATTCATTTCCATTGGCCAACTCAATAGCATCGGTGCTATCAGCCAACCTGATTTCATCAGGCATTCAGTTCCATCGGCTGACCTGATAGCATCAGGCATTCATTTCCATTGGCCAACTTAATAGCATCAGTGCTATCAGCCGACCTGATTTCATCAGGCATTCAGTTCCATCAGCCAACCTGATAGCATCAGACATTCATTTCCATCAGCCAACCTGATTCTATCAGACATTCATTTTCATCGGCCGACCTGATAGCATCAGGCATTCATTTCCATCAGCTGACTTGATAGCATCAGTGCTATTGGTTGACCTGATTTCATCAGGCATTCATTTCCATTAGCCGACCTGATAGCATCAGACATTCATTTTCATTGGCCGACCCAATTCTATCAGCCATTCATTTTCATTGGCCAACCTGATAGCATCAGGCATTCATTTCCATCGGCCGACCTGATAGCATTAGACATTCATTTTGATCAACCCACCTGATGGCATCAGTACTATTGGCCAACCTGATTGCATCAAACATTCATTTTCATTGGTTGGCCCATATGATGGCTTCACACCCATCATCAGCCGACTGGTACACACGGCCACTATATTCCACATCAGCCAAGCTGATAACATCACACACTCCACCATTTTTCCCTGGCCATCGGCCGACATGTTAATATCAAGTATCACTACATATGGGCCCAGCTGTTAAAATCGACTCCCATTGAGACCACTGGCCAAACGTAAGACACAGGAAAATATTTTTGATTGGCCGACATCCGCTGGCCTGTGTGGAACAGGGAATTTTCAGCCTTGGCTGCCTGTATAATTCAGGGTATGTGACTGAATGGGCTCAATCAGCCAGGGAAAATGATAATAAATTGTTGATGCATGAGTGAGCACATGAGCGACGTGGCACAACAACATGTTGGAGTTATACCACAGGAATATGAACCACAATATATATACCCGTCTTGTTACATATGCCTCTTCCCTCAGTCCATTACACGAGCTGAGGGTAAGCCGTCTTTTCATCCTGCCGGACTACCTAGACACTAACACTTGTACTTAGAGACTGACTGTGACACTGTCTATATTTAACAGGTTATGAGTCCTGCACCCTCGTAATCGAGAGTACAGAAACTGTCTAGACAAAGTCGCATCCTAGCAGCTTTATTGTGACACCAGCGTTATTACACTTGTTTAGGTTGACATCTTCAAACATCATTCCCACTTCCTCTTTGGGCAAGAAGCATTGTGTTGATAATTGCTTGGGCCCACATATATATATATACATAGGGAACATACTGCATTTATTTCTCCTTGCACCTCTCTCTCATACCACCATCATGTGTTATGCCAAACAAGCCACACATGTGATCCAAATCTCACATCAGTAAATTCGACCTCACAAAAGAGTCAATCACTGCTTCAGTTGCCCCAAGTTCTACTACTCTAGCGCCTACAAGTACCGGTAAATCCCACCTCACCATTAAGATACTGGCCTGGTCTAAGAATGCTATGCCTCCCGCAATATCTTCTGTCATGGTGGTTACTCTGAGTCAAACCAATCTCGAAAAGATCAAGGTCCTTGATTGCAGCAAGAACAACTGGGGCATGTGGTCCAATAAGCTTCAGAACTACCTTCTTCTCAAGCACGGCGGAGGGTACATTTTAGGCCTTATCCAGTGTCCTGATCCCATCGCTGATCCTATCAATGCGGGCACATGGGATCTTAATAACCTCTGTATCATTGCCGCTCTCTATACTCGCTCTACCCTGGAAGAAGGGGATTTCTTATGCACCTTCACCAACATGCATCTTGCTTGGGCCACATTGAAAGCACAACATGAAAAGGTGGGGCCTATTGCACAGATCCTCCTTATCCAACAAGCACTGGCCACACACTTCTGTCATGGTGAACACCTCTCTACCACTAGCACTCAACTGTCTGACCTCATTCAATGCATATATGCCATTGGGTTACCTAAGGAAGACGATTTTCTGACCATCATGATGCTCAACACCATGACAGATGACTTCCACCACGTACGTAACCACATCGCCAACACTATTACCACCAGTACCCCCAGTGCCCCTTATGGTCCATCCAACATATGTGCTCAACTCGACATTGAACAGCAACTCATTGACTCCGAGAAGTCCAAATCGGGTGACATCACTATGATGGCCACCAAGGGTGGAAGTCATGGACGCTTGTCCAAGACATGTTCTGATTGTGGGCGTGTAGGTCATTTGTTCTGTTGTACCACCTGCAACAGCTGGGGGCATAATGCAAAGGATTGCTTTGGCAAGGGAGGTGCTATGGAGGGCAAGAAGGACAAAGTTCTGGCTCACAAACACGCTGCATGCGAATCCACTCCCAAGGGTGCTTCTTCTGCCAAGCCTACTTCGACTGGGAAGCCTGGTGGGCTACGCTATGACACTGGCAGGCATGCCTATCTTCTCGATAGTGAGACCCAGGAGGCCGTCTATGTTGCTGGTGGTGATGGCTCCTCCACTCCTGCCACTCAGGAATTCACTGGCCTGGCAAGTGATGCCATCACTCCTGCGTTCATCTGCAAGCTCTCATCCTTTGACGACCATGAATTTACTGCCCTGCTTGCTGCATTTGACGATGTGCGGACCAGCCTTGACTGGCATCAGTGCTCTCACCCAGTTGACTTTGCAGGTCTCATCTATAAGGCACCCAATCAGTGCCAATGCACAGTAGTTGACCCGTCCATCATGATTGTCCCTTTCTTCCTTGACAGTGGTGCATCTGTGCATATCAGTAACACTGAGGCAGACTTCTTTAGTCTACGCCCTATCCCCCCTCGCACTGTCAATGGCATTGGTGGGTCTTCCATCCAAGCTGTTGGCATTGGCACCCTTCGGCTTGTTGTCGCTAAATGTATCCACATTACCCTTGATCATGTGTTGTTCATCCCAGCTGCTACTGTTCGCCTTATCTCTGTGTCCTCTCTCTGCACCACCCATTGCTGTGTTGCATATTTTGATGCCACCAGCTGCTGGGTTCAGGCGCCTAGCGGTACACGCATGCTCTCCATCAGGAAAAACCCAAAATTGTCAGAGTCATAGTGGCAGCTATATAGCGCTACATAGGTGGTGTAGTACTATGTAGGCAACCAGGTTACTATATAGTGCTACATACTTGGTGTAGCCGAAACGAGGGCTATGTAGAGCTACAGTAGGCGCCAGAAGTAACTTGTATTCACTGTAGTCACTGTAGCGCAGTAGCAGTAGCAGCAGTTCTAATCACTACCAGTGGAAATACAAAATGTCTCTAGGTCAATAAAAGTATTCAAATAAAAATCATTTGCCATCTCATAGACGTTCGTACTCATCCACCTGGGGTCAACAGATGGTCCCATCCTTGGAATAAGGTGACACGGACAAACAATTTCATCAACATGTATCACGGCTGCATTCCAATGCAGCTGACGAGTTGAACGTGACACTTGACGCAGACCAGAGGAGGGGTCTGGCTCCCAAAATGGTGTGAACCACTCGATGTAAGCCAGTGCTCGGGAGTATGTACCAAACTGACGAGGCAGAGTGAATATAGTACGAACCTGTGCAACTCGCACACCTACGGTATCTATTTCAATATTCTGACATTTAGGCCTCAAATAATGGTTACTTACCTTCGAATGTCCGCAAACTCGACATCCAAACACCATCACTTATCAGCGCCATGTCGAATCTAGCGGGGGATCCGGGCTTGTGGCCAGGACCAGGCTGCACTTCAGGCGTCGCTCTAATGCGCCACTGCTTTGGTGAGTCACTGATGCATGGATCAGGTGGAGTAACAATGACGACTTGTCAAAAAACATTGAAATGGTCATGTGGGCCAGGGATAATGGTATTGTGTGGCATGTGGGAGTGCAGGAAAGATTTAAGAGCTGGGAGAAACATAGTTGCGCCGTGTATGGCGACAAGGTGCTGGATGGACTGTTGAGGGTGTGCAGGGGTTTTGGCAAGAACATGGACCACATCAATGGGACGTGTCGGACTTGCATTGGTAGGGGCAGCACCACGTGACTCAGATTGCAAGTCTTCAATCTCAGAGTCCGAGTCCAATTCCAAGCCATATCTGCGCTTGGATCTGTGCGACTGGATGCTGTGGTCGACTGAGACCATTCTGACAACCAATTGAGGTAAGAACTACGCAGGAATACTGCTTCCTGGCGTTGAAGCCATAAGGCCATTTGTTCCTCATAGTTGCGCTTGTTACTTGCACGATAGGCTTCTTTGGCGAAGTTGATGTGTAGTTGTTCCGGAAGCTCGGTGTTGAAACCGTCGGTGGAACCAAATAGTATGATTGACTCAACAAAGTGCGAGATTTGGTGTAATTTAGGAATATTGAAGTGTTCGCGAACTTCAAGTTCCTGCAGGATATCCTTATTGGCGTGAAACACTGCAAGAGCACTCTCCAGACCATCAAGGGATTCACTTGTATGTATTCGAAGCTGTGCGTAATATGAAAAGTCCAGAATGGCTCGCAGCGACCACTAAGACTTGACTGGTAAATAAAATTAATTGCATCAGTGCAGACTTTGTCGAGCAAGACTTAAAGCATACCTTGGGACAGCACCAGCGAGTAGACCAATGAAAACATGTTGCATTTCTTTGTGTTCTGTACCTGTCCACTGTCTCACAGTAGAAATACCTTTCTTGAAGTGCCGAAGACCAGGATAATCTGTCATTGCCTTGAAGCATGCGTCCATTTCATCTTCACCAACAATTTCAAGACACCACTTAACTAAGTGGTCTTTGAAGACGCCTTTATGGACCTGGTGAAGGAGGTCAGGCGTGAAGGCAAGGAAAATATTGGTGTGAGGGAGAGTAGCCCAGAATGGTTTGTAGATGGCATGTAGCCCATTGTCGTCAAATTGAATTGGATGCTGACCATTCTTCTGCTTCTCTAATACCTCTTTTGTCACCTCAGGGTCCCACATCAGCGAAGTCAATGGATCACCTCGTTCATCTGCTGTGACCAAACACTTTGGACACCAATTTTCTTTGCAACACACCACAAGACATTGCTCCGGAAAGTCGGCTACATAAGCAGCAAGGATGGGGTAGACTTGACAGATCAACAAGTCGGCGCAGACCATCTCAACACCATTTCGACCTGCAGCAACAAGGGGTTCAAGGAGCAGGGACATACAATGGTGGAAGAGTCAGTAACCAGCAAGGGAGCGCGCATCAGATGTAAAGCAATCAAGCTTTCCTGCAGGTAAGTATCCAATAAGGACTGTTGCTTGCGCTGATGTTTGCCGCCTCTTCTCTTTTGCGATGTTGCCAATGGAGAGGTACACAGGCCATGCTGATTTATCGCCTTGGAATTGCGACAGACATGTTTTGTCTGACGAGAGAATGATCGGTGCGATGGTCGCACCTTTTGGCAACTGTTTCTGGACATCATAGGTCAGTACTTGTCATTTTCGCTTTTTTGGGGGTGCTTACTTGCTTGTCACACCACCAGTCCGCCGTCCACATGTCATCAATTACTCGGTGAAGTCCTGCGGGGTCCTTGTATGCTCGTGCAGGTGCATACACCATATGATCGCGGAACAATGGATTTCCAATGAGGTCTTTGACGCACTCCACAGGATTGCACATCCACAGTTTCATGTCTTCATGCAACATCTGGCCCTTCTCATCTGTTTTATTTCCCTGGACGGTAACCTTTTTGCAGCTCCAGGCAGCTCTGTGTGGGAGCTTGTCGACTTTCTGGAGGAAAGATCGGTTATTGTGAAATGAAGGTTTCATTTGGTTTTGTGTCTATTGCTACAGTTAGTACAAATTCTTCAATTTTCAACACTATGCTTACTATCGGTAATTTTAGAAATTTGTCTGTTTGAGTCTGGCCAAGGCTTCTAACAAGCCACTCGGCGAGTCCCCACTCCTCCCTTGTGACCTGAAATTAATTGCTTTGCAGACACAACAGACATAAATTGGTACGTACGCATCACAAAAGGGGGCCCATTCGTCCTCGCCCTTACCCTCCTTATACTGTTGAAACCTTTCAAAGCCGGTTTGTCCTTCACGCACTGTTTGGCCAGTGCCAGCACATTGTTTGAAATATCGCCTGTGGTCCTCATCTTCATCCTCCTCAATGGTGACCCATCGATTTTTTGGTGCTGTTGCATTGTCTGCATTGGGTTGGGAAGACTCAGAGCATGAGCAGCAATGTGGCGAAAATAAGTTGGCATTAGAGTCGGTGTTGGTGTTGGTGTCTATACTAGGTATGCCGATGTCATTTTGATTTTCAACCAGCAGCTCCCATTGCCTTCTGCATTCAGGGTGTCCTGCAATATGTTTTTTGACACCTCCCAATGTGGGCATCTCCTTGGTACAGAATCCACAGTGAGGCATGGTGAGTGTTTCAGAGGTTGCTTTCTAACTTCGCAATGTTTTTGATGGTAATTTTTTTTAAAGGCAGGTTTAACGGTAATTTTTTTAAAAAAGGCAGGCCCTGGTCTAGACCTCGCCACACCACACTTGTCACTATTGTGTGGCACACCACATTACACTAGTCTGGATATACCATGGACGGCAAGAACTAACTCTGAAAGTTGCGCCCATTTGGCCTCCTCACAATGCCTGACTTCTACCTCCCAGTGCTCTATGATGAGTCTTCACAAGTTTGCTTGCAATATGGTAAGAGCTGGACCCGGCGCTATTTCTAAGAGCTGCAAATTTTTTGCATGCTCGCAACCCTTCACTTCTGCCTCCCAATGCTCCAAAATTAGTCTTTGCAAGTAGGACTGAGAAACCACAATAGGGCCGGGTGTTTGGCAAAATGGCGGAGGAAGCGGATACATAGGCTCATTGAGCTTTGGCCTGCAAGCCAGTGAGTATATGGGCTGTGATGAAGATGTGCAGCTAACCTTTTGACAATAACATTTCCATTTTTACAGTAGCTGTTTTGTCGCCTATGGCTGGTGACATGGGACTATACAATTTGTCAGAGCATGCCAGTGAGTGTTTGATGCAGACTCCATACCACTTGTTGACCGAGTTATCCATGGTAATGAAAATATTGCAATGTAGTAATGGTACACTTGCTGCTTTTTATAATTTCATGTCCATTGATCACAGCTTTGAGGTCTGAACTTTACAAGCCATGAAATCAACAAAAAAATTCAAGGTTTAGATGTGAGTTGTTTATGTCTTTCATAGCACTATAAAATCTGCTGAACCATGGGTTAATTCAGACAACCATGGCTACCAGTCGCAAGGTTGCCTCCAAGCATGCAAAATCCACGGACACACAACCAGCACAACCACCTGTGTGTACCACAAGTGGTCGACAGCAATCGTCGACTGAAAAAGAAAATTACCATGGTAAATCCTGACAGTATTGTGCGAGAACGTCTCACTCACTAGTGACTCTACAGTCTCTGAGTCTCAGCACGTTACCCATCGCCAAGAACACAAGGAAAAGAAGTTAGAGAAACAGAAGAAAAAAGTACTGAAGGCTACTTACCAAGCTGATCCTGACATCTTTGAGCGAGAGCTGTCCGAGCTGCATAGCGACATTGATAGGGAAGAAACTATGGTTTGATCACCCATTTTCTTTTCCGCAACTCAGAATAATCACAGATAAAATATTTATTTAGTTCTCAGATCACAATATGTTGTCCAAGCTGTCCTGGCCCAAGGTCCTGACATTCAGTGCTGGGAAAATCCCCCCGCCGATGTTGCATAATGCCAGTGCCACCCGCAAGGCTACTACCACAGGTACATGTCTACTCTGTTAATTCTATACTAAGACTAATCCACCTCCGCTACTATCAAGCAGCTCCAACTCTGAGTCCATGTGATGATGAGTCAACAGACTGTGACTCTCAACCTGAAGCTCAGGTTGACCACACTGATGACTCAGAAGAGGACAATAACGACAATGCCGAAGAACTATCGCCAATAGCTTGAGGGACCAAGCAACCACTTGATGTGACTTTGGAAAATGCCATGGTATTGCTGAAGATCAAGGAAAATTCGGATGGTTCATGCCAACACATGAAAGCCAGTGACTTTGATGATGTCTCCAAAGAGATTCTTGTGACAGCGAGCTCTATTTTCCGGTGTCTAATTGTCACCCAAGTGCCATTTCCCGATAACCTTGCTGTTGAGACGAAATTGGCAAAAGCAGCCTGGCATGAGGCGTGTCAAATCAAAGGTGTCAATGTCAAACTGACGCCTTTGGTGGTCAAAATGGTGAGTCATCTGTTCTCCATGTGTTCTTCATCTGATTTATATCATACCTTGTGAAGCTCTTGACCCACACATCACAAGTGCGCAGGGAACTTAAAATGAAAATGCAATCACTGACTGGGTCTTTTTTTTGGTTTCTGGATGAGCAATTCCAACGATGTGATAAGACAGAATAGAGATCTAGCAGAGTCTTTGAAAGACGGTTCTGTGTTTGCTTTCAAGGTACGCATTTTGATGATCTACATCGTGTTTCAAGTCCTGAGTCCTTGGACTAATAGGATTGGGCATCGAAGAAGGGAATCTACAAGACCAAATTACTGCAACTGGGTATCAACATCATGTGGTTTGCGAATCGTCACAACGAAGGTGTCGTATACCATAAATACTTTAATCCTATGCCCGTCGAAGTTATCGCTCTTGTGCTTACAACTGTGAGTCTCTTGTTCTTATATTCAAGTTGATGGTGCTGATGAATCACTGGTAGATTGAATGTTGTATTGATGAATGGTTACAAGGTCTGAAGGAGGATATTAAATTCACATTGGCTACTTATGGAACTGTCTACCATGATCATTTCGGCTCATTGCAGCGTTTCAATGAGCACACAGCGCCTTATAAACTCCTTGAAAGAATTTGTATCAATCTGCACGACACAGCTCGGTGCGTTGAACAGTGTCCTTTTTGCAAATGATATTCTAACATTCATGCTTTGAAGTTTCCATGCAGGTGTTGACACCCTCCCTACTATGTTGTCATTTGCATCCCGGATCAGTGACGAGGCATTCAAAGATGCCATCCAAGAGTATCGACTTGAGGAGCAGGATGATGCGGAGGCTAGCGAGTCGTAAAATGTGTTGACTTGTTGATTAGTAGACATTCAAATTCAATTGTTTTTGTGATTCTGTGTGCTACTATGTGATATATGTATTACTATATAGCTGCTGGAAGCTGGCAGTAGTAGCACTATATAGCTGCTGGAAGCTGGCAGTAGTAGTGCTATATAGCTGCCTGTAGTAGCACTCTGAGGAACTACAGTCTACTACAGTCTACTACAGTAGTACATGGTAGCGCTACCTGATTCTACATAGCACTATATAGTATGACATAGTTGCCTCACATACTATATAGAAGGGACTTGACTACTGAGCTACAGAGTCTACCCTGGCTATATAGTACTATATAGTCACCAGGCTTTTTCCTGATGTCTGGGACCCTTACCTCCCACCACCTATATGCTCTCTCTGGTGGCCAACTGTCAGCTGAACACACCCACCTTGCCCAGTGCTTACCTACTAGTGCTGCTGTGGTCCGGTCCTGAACCATGGTTCGTCCTTGGTTCAGTCCATGGTTCTGAATTTTGCACGGACCAAACCGGAATGAGGTTCGTGGTCCGCTGTCTCCCGAACGGTTCAGACATAGGTTCAGACGTTCCCAAACCGTTCCAAACCCCGAACCAAAGCTTCCTTGTGACATTGGCGAGGCATACACTCATGGTCATTTTGACTTCTGGATCCTCGAGATTTGCACCGATTTTGAATTCTGTCTGGTTCCCCATGTTGTAAGTAGAAGTCTAAGAGATGAGTCTAGAGACAAGATAACATGAGTGAGAAACGGTGTGCAAAGTGAATAAGAACTATACCTCAGCATTGATGAAAGAACCGCTGAGGTACAAACAGTGCGATACAACGAGTTTAAAAGCTATACTATAGAGTCTGTGATGGCAAATGAAAGAAAGGAATACAAGGAAACATGGTGTCGAGTTGAACTTCCAACACCCCATGGTCACTTTGACTTCTGGGATTCTTGAGATTTGTATTGACTTTGAATTCTGTCCGGAGGCTTGCATCCTGCACCTCCTGCTGTCCAATAAAGCTCAAGGTATGAATTAACTGGCACAATAAACTCAATAAACTGATTGATATATTACATTGAGGTTTGGATGGACGCCAATGGTGATTCATGTCACCAGGTGATGAGGTAGGAGCTTCTCGCAACACACAACGAGCTAAATTATTGAGACAGGACTTGGACAGTGTGATAGCGGAGTTCATGTTTGTGACTAGAGGTGGACCTGCCAGCAAGGTGTTGATCATGTACAAAGAAAAGAACAAATGAGAAGTACCGGTATCAGGATCTGGTCGTCTGGGAGATGGGTATTACATTGCAGTAAGTTGCTCTCAGCCATGTGCAAATATAGCGAAATCCAGTTCTTAGGGCTCAGAGGAAATAGAATCAGCTATTTGACACGGATTTTTCATCCGAAGTAATATCTCAGCACTTGCCGATTGTAAGGCCTCTACTCAGTTTCTAACTTGGCCTGGTCATGGCCTACATAGCATTTGCTCCGAGAGTCAATTGAGGACGAGCGCCTGAAACGTGGAGAAGTTGTTTATAATAAGCTGGAACAGGGAGGCTTGAGGAACCAGAAGAGGGCTACAGACTTTCAAATTTTATGGTGGCATGTGAATGGTCCACACGGCAGTCTTGCCTGCTGTCGACATATAGTGCGAGAATGACTCTGAAGTTGTAGTCAGCAGCCTGTGCAGATTTGCATGACAAAGACCCAGAAAATGAGTTCTTCTTGTCATTACATGCTGCTAGCAAGTACTGCAAGCATGGTTGAAAGTTCCTTCCAATTATACTGTGTCTGTGTTTTTTTTTGCTAGCTGTAAAAAAAATTGGGTTCAGTTCACGTTCAAACCAAAAAAAAACCAAACTTGACCATTTTGAACTGTTCGCAAAGGTCCAGTTTGAGGTTTGGCGAGTCTAGTAGAACCGGACCTAGGTTCGGTACTCGGTTCTTGCTCAACCCTCTATGAACCAGACCAAACCAGACCGCGGCAGCACTATTACCTACTCTCCAACCATGGCACTGTTGTCTCAGTCACGTGAACTATTGCACTGTGTATGACCTTGCACACTCCGGTAATGCCACTGGTATGCCCATAAATCTTTCTACTGAACCTCCTGTTTGTGACGATTGCATCCTTGGTAAACAGACCAGGACTAGCATCCCGAAGGTTCATGTGGGGGATAGGGCTACTAGGAAGTTAAGGATTGTGCATGTTGACCTCATGGAGCATCCAGACACTGTTTCGGCTGCGGGTAATAAATATGTGATGGACATTATTAACAATTCCTCATCTTATGCTTGGGCAATTCCACTTGCATTGAAAGCGGATGCCCCTCCTGCACTACAGGCCTGGGAACGCATGCGCAAACTTGAACTTGGGCTGAAGGTTGGTACTTATCGCTCTGACAATGGTGAACTCAAAACTACGTCCATGTGGGAGTGGCTCCTCTCACGTGGTACACAGCACCAGTTTACCGCCCCCCACACATCTGTGCAGAATGGTCATGTCAAACACTTGCACCGCACTCTCATGGGGAAGGCTCACGCTATGTGATCTGCTTGTAATGTGCCTGTGAACCGTTGGGATGAGTTTGTTCTGACCACCTGCTACCTCTCTAACTGCACTCCTGTGTGTTTGCAAGCTGGACATACGCCTTATGAATGCTGGTTTGGGCACAAACCTGACCTATCTTGTTGAAGCCTGGATCGAAGCCCGAGTAGGAGATGTCAAAGTGAGACATTGCGAGCGCTAACCGATTGAGGAACTTACAACCAAGTGACGTCGGTCATAGAATCTGATAAGTAACCATTTTATTTCTATGTTACAGCTTATTACCTATCACTATGCTAACTAGCTTAAAACTACAAGTTGTCAGACCAAACATCTCAGTCCGTTTCCTGAGACTGAGATGTGAGTTGAAGTTCCCACTTTTACATAAGTTACAACTAAAGCTAACATACCATTAGATACATTTTCTTATCAGCTCCCATTTCTCGCTCCCTCTAAGCCTCTCATTGCGAGATATCTCACCTTTGCAAAGTCGGCTGTCGTGCTTTCGTCCTCATCCAGAACCAGCACAACCCTAAGGTCTACAACCGTTCCATCAAGTGTGTTCTGATTGGCTACTTGCTTGACTCGAAAGCTTACCGTTGTCATCATCGTGCATCTCATAATGTCTTCGTCTCTTACCATGTATCCTTTATAGAGTCTCACAATGCTTGCCACACACCTCTTCAACCTGGTGTTGTTCTCAACGACTCTGATGCTGGTTATTCTAACACCCCTCCGGTCTCTGAATGTTCTCCTGCATCTGTTCCCCTGCCTGTGTCACCACCTGAGCAACCTCCAGCCCTACGTCGATCTTCTCATGTTCCTGTACCTTCCAAGAAATGATGCGCTGCAGAGGGCAAATCTTTTGTCTCTGCGACACAACGTGCTGTTCAGACCACCGCTATTGCTGCTGAGTGTCTGCAGGCGCTCCCTCCCAGCCCCACACTCACGTCTCCCTTCCCTGTTGTCCCTGACGTGTTTGCTGCTGTGCTCTCTGAGGAGGAGCTTGCTTGTCTCGCTGATCTTTTCACGGCCATGCCTGACCACCTTGAGAACGAGATGTCCGATGATCTCTCTACCTACTCCAAAGCCATGGCGTCTGATAACGCCACCGAGTGGACGTCAGCCCTCCAGGAGGAGTTTGCCTCTCTCAAGGACCTTGGTGTGTACAAGCTTGTTCCACAATCTTTTGTTCCCCCTGGTCGTAAAGTCATGTGCAGATGTCCTGTTTTCAAACTGAAACGCGATCATAATGGTAACCCAGTGTGCTTTAAGGCTCGATATGTGTGCAAAGGCTACTCTGCTGTCTGGGGCCAAGATTATACTCATCAGGAAAATCTCAGATCTGCTTTATGTACTTTTATGTACTTTTATAACTTAATCAGCACAAATAAGCAGGAGCGCTGAACTGCGCTGGACAAGCAAAAAGTCACTTTTTCAGACCAGTCAATCTCTGATTTTCATCTGAATTTCACTTATCCCTCTGGCAGTAAGTAGAAAAAGCAATCATTGCACACAAACAGTAGGATAAGCAAAGTAATGAAAAAGTCAATTCATCAGAGCCAGAAAATGGTAGTATAGTCAGATGATGCAGTAGAAATTACGAATGAGTGAATACGTGATGCAGGGACCAATAGTATGAAGGCAGCAGGGAAATCGGTGGCATAAGGGGTGGGCAACGAGATAGAATGATTCTGTTGAGATGTTAACAAAATGTCAGTGATATTGCTGGCCAGGGGAGAAAAAAACATTACAAATGAGGGCACGCTCGTCGATGCTCTCCTCGTCATCGTCGTCAGAACATTCAGCTCCTGCTGCTGATTGACTTCATGTATGATTCCGTCTCCTCGTGGCAGTTGGCAAATGAGAACTTGTAACATCCACTCGACATCTTGCCTGTTGCCTTGTTGAGTACCATTGGAAGCTTGACAGCAAACTTGCTGGTTGCTATAGATGCAAGAACCTCTTCAACCTTGATGATGTTGTCTTGAACAAACTTGAGCGCGCGTTCAAGCTGGAAAAAAATCAGAACAGCAATTTTCGGATCAAACATGAATCTCACTGCAACAACGCAGAGCATGATGGCACCATCCATGCCTCCCAAGGAAAGCTCATCAGTATTCAGTGCAGGAACATCGATATGGTCAGCATTCACAACGAGATGATTGGTTGCCATCAATTGGAGTATGAATGCTGACAGGTAGGCCATCTCCCACAATATATTGTCTGAGTCTTCATAAATAAACACATATTTTTTGAGGAGTTGCTTGGCAACTTCGGCATTTGGTGCGTCTTTGATGCAAGAGCAAAAATCTACGATGATAGCAAGTGCCGCAGAGCCAATGTTGCTCCTCCACTCTGAGAGCTGCTGTTGTGTCTAGAAACAGTATGAGAGACCCGCACAGAAATATTTAAAATGAACTTACCACAGCGAATACAGCGCCGTTTGGATTCACCTTGTATTTGACGCCAGGGTAGACCACTTCAAAAATGTCCTGCAGCGCGTCCGCCATCACGGACTCAGACATCTCCCATGGATTAGGCTGACTTCCAGCCCAAAGAACTGCTGTGGACAAAAAGGCCTTCACCCACTTCAAGTTGGCAGGTACGGAAAGGTCAGTGTTACAGTATTGACCATGCGGCTTGATCACCTCCTGTGCAGCAGTTGTCCAGTGGCCTGGTGGGACTTGGGTGCTGGGGGGAGGCATGGTATCATCATAATAGCCTGCTGGAACTTGGGTGGAGGGGGGAGGCACGAGATCATTGTCATTAGTAGACTCTGAGCTTTCTTTCTTCAACTTCTTTGGTGGTGGAGGGGCAGCGTTCTGAGATACAATGGTAGACACCTAAAATACATGAATTGTGTCAGTTACAAGTGAGAGAAAAAATACACGCACTGATGTAGTCTTGTGAGGAGCATATTCCTTCTTCTTGGTGGTGGGAATTGTGGTAACCTCAGGCATGAAGCCTGTCATTTCCTGTGAATCTTCTATCAGAATGTCAGAATTATCTGTGGCCTCAGACGAGGCCTCAGATGCAGTCTCATCAACAAAATCCTCAACATCATCGCTAGCGGCCTTCCACTTCACACTGCCAGACTCAGTGACATAAGTCATCTGCTCAGGCTTGGAGTCACTCTCGCTAGCGGGAACAATTATGGTGGTAGGCTTCTGGAATTCAAGGTAATATGTGAAGTGAATCAATGATGAAAAACAAAGACTTACTCTAACTACCTTTTCCCCTTTCCAGCGCAGTGCAGCTGGATGCTGTTCAAGACCATCAGGATGGTCATCGAGACTATCGACATCACTAACCATCAGGACATCATCGGATTCATGAATGTCAGGTTTAGTTGCCTTCTCCTTGTTGATCCTCACAGATGTGGCCTTGGAACTAGTGCTGGTACTAGTAGTAGCAGCGGACAAGATTGATTGGGGTGGAGTAGGAGTGTGCGATTCAGATCTGGAACTTAATGTGTTGGACTTCGGGTAAGCTTTCTCTGGGACATCATTGGCCCAGTTTTTGAGATAACCGCCAAGCAACAGCTTTTTGGTTGTACTTGAAACTGCACGGTCAAGAAAGAATAATGTTGATTTGGTGAGTAAAAACATTGTTTTGAATGAGTGCGTTGACTCACGACAAAGCTGCATTGTTGCCTTTCTTGTCACTGACAGGTGTATCAATATCCGAGTTATTATTGCTATCAGTTTTGGTATCAGAATTCCAGGCGTTTCTGATGGCTTCCTTTAGTAACGTCTTCATCTTCTCTGCTGTCTGTTTCTTCCCAGGTTTCTCAGCAACCACATCAGCCTCACCAGCACTCAGTAGCATGTCCTCTGGCCCATCATCAACGGTTGGCGTATCTAGTGTAAGTGTCAAGCTCTGTTACTACCCTTGATGTGAGGCTCATACCACTGGCAGCATCCTTAGTAGGCACTTGCTGGCTTTTGCCTTTAGCGTGAGGGTGGGGGCGAACAGGTTTCGGCTTGTTTCCAAGCACTTTCACCTCAAGAGTCACCATATTGTCTTCAATTCCTGCAATTCGTTCAGCAGCCTTCTGGATTCATGCACTCTTCTCCTCAGGGCTTTCAGTTTGCATGTGGGTCATCGGCGACCTTTGATTTCTTGGTACGAGGTTTTCTCTTTGCATTCTGGAGGCACTCCTCAGCTTCGGCCTCCAAAACAGGCCTGCCAGGATGAGCATTTGCATTTGATGGACGAGTCCGACACATGGACACTTCTTGTGAAGCTTTGGGTGCCATGCCTGACTGCTGGAGATGATGGGAGGGTGGATAAAATAGAGTGAAGAGCTTGGAGATGAAAATTGCACGGTACTGGCCCTGTTAATTGAGACAAACACACGCTCACATTTCTTTTACGTTTAGTACGTCTAGTTGGGCAACGGGTCAATTTCAACATTGCTACCCTAGTGTGTCTAGTCCCGTTTAAGTTACCGTCTACCAAGGTTCGCATCCGCATTTCTGTTTTGTTCCTTTATCCTCTCAGCTACATTCTAGTACACCATGGTGCCCCGCCCTGCTCCTCAGCACTCTCGAAGGAACCACATCCCATATCAATTCCCTTGCAGTTATCCTCAATGCAACCAGCACTTCAAATCTCTCAGCGGACGAACAAGACACCACACTGCTGTCATATCCCATACCTCCAGATCCGGAATTCCAGATCTACTTCATTGAAGTCCGGTCCTTTGTCTTACTATTCCGCCCGGCGCTCCGCCTTCATCTCCGCACTCACCCCTAACTCCTTTTAGATTAGCTATTGCTCTGGTTACCAGTTATGTCCTATTCCGCTATGCTTACTGATCCGTCCATTCTTACTTCATTTCCGACTTCACTGCTTTGATCTGTTACACTTAGTAATAGATTTTCCATGTGCCTCATACATAGCCCTTACCTTTGCTGACTGATTTACTTACATGATACCTACAGTATATAAACCCCTGTAATACTCCGGAACTCCTTAGTTCAAATATCATCTTAGTTCTGCTCATTCCTGCAATCTCCGGACTTGAGTCTCACCTCTTGTCCACCTCCGAGTCTTAGGGGTTAAACCTTAGGACTAATCCTCTGGCTCTACCTTAGGGTAGTCTAACCTCTGTCCTGTTTCTACTCCGGATTTCCGTAGTGGCCTTACTCCATCCTCACATAGTCTTCCGGAGTTCCGCCGAACTCCACCAACTTCTGTCCTCCGGAATTCCCCGGACTTCCGTCAGACTTCCTCTCTGTCCCCCAGAAATTAAGGGCACATACTCGGGTAAGGGGCGCAGCGTACGAGCTGAAGTCGAAGCCCTTTGAGTAACCTCTCCCTTGAGCACGACCTTAACACTGGGCCACATCGCTACTCAAACACCATGATCACCCACCTTTTGTGGATCATAAGGATCTCTACAAGACTATCGATAACATCCCAATTGGCGGCGTCAACTGGCAGTCTTTCAACATCCAGTACTCCGGAGATAAACCTGCTGAGTCTGATGTGCCTCCGTGGATGAGTAAGCGGTTTGATGTTTGGTATCACGACCCCCGTGAAGTTGCACAGAACATCCTGGCTAACCCTGATTATGTCAACAAGTTTGATTATTGCCCGTTCCGCGAATTTTCGGTCAACAAAGATGAACGTCGCTTCCAGGACTTCATGTCAGCTGATTGGGCCTGGCAGCAAGCGGTATGTCCCTACTATCTAAAATTAGCCTCCTGGTCATGATCATTCCTTTCAGGATATCATCGCCACTCATCCAAGCAATCTCAGAGCAATGTTTGTGCCCATAATACTTGGAAGTGACAAGACGACTGTGTCAGTCAGCACTGGAAACAACAAGTACTATCTGTTGTATTTGTCTATCGGCAATATGCACAACAATGTGTGCTGAGCACACCAAAACGCCCTCTGTCTTGTTGGCTTTCTTGCCCTACCAAAGAGTAAGTTTTTTCAAGTCACTTCATACTGTAACTTGACTCTGTCCTGTAGCAACCAAGGAACATGCAGAGACAGAAGAATTTCGCAATTTCCGGTGCCAGATCTTCCATTCTTCACTCGCGAAGATACTCGACATGCTCAAAGATGCCATGTCAAAGCCCAAGATTGCACATTTCGGCAACAGCCATTATCAACGTGTTGTTTATGGATTAGGTCCATATATCGTGGACTATGAGGAGCAGGTGTTACTTATGTCTATCATGAGGAGATGGTGTCTGAGGTTCGTTTTACTAGTTCTTTCCCTGCTCTCCCAATGTTTGATGCCTTTGCAGGTGTCTTGCTCCATGTCAAAGCCCAAACAATGATGCCCTTTGCCAATGCAAGGCACACAGAGAGGCCCTCTTTGAAGAGGATATATTCAGTAGTGTGCTGCGGAGTGATTTCGGTATTGTTGGTGAAGTTGTGGTAGGCTTCATTCAGTTACTGGAAGTGCTCACAGGGCTGATCTACGTTTAGCCTTTTACAAACGACTTCCCTCGTGCCGATATCCATCAACTTATTGCACTAGATCTCCTTCACCAGATCATCAAAGGCTGCTTCAAGGACCATCTAGTTGCATGGGTGGAGAAGTACCTCCATCATATTCACGGAAAATGTGAGGCAGAGTGCATTATGGATGATATTGACCAACATCTGGCTGCTGCTGTTCCATTCACTGGCTTGCGGCATTTCCCGCAGGGCCATGGATTCAAGCAGTGGACTGGGGATGACTTGAAGGTGCTCATGAAGGTATGTATATGTATTCTAATTCAAATAAGACTCGACTGATTGAATATCATACAGTGGCTCAAAAAAGTGTCTCAATGTTTGCACATTTTCATATAATTGCATCATTGTGAGCCAGAGTGTAGGAATATAATAGGGCTATAGGGACATGTCTGAATCCCTTGTATCCAGGCTTGAATCTGAGATATGCAGCGTGGGAAGTGATGTCATGGAGCGGAGATATGGCTATTCTAGTTTAGTGACTCATTGAGACACTTATTTGACTTTATATCAAAACCATGGAATTAGACCACCTACACATGATGTGATCAATGACACATGTCTTAGAATATTATATGGGATGTGAAAGTATAAAAATAATAAAAATAAAGCCAAACATCAACCTTTTTTGGCATCTTTTATCACTGACTACACAAAATCAATTCAACACTCTTTCTACACAATTCAACCAAATTTTTATAGAATATCTCACATTATACTTGTGTCCACTAAAGTATTATAAATAAAACTTGCTGTAGACACTATACAAGCCTTCAGAAGTTCATTGGTGATCACCATTCTATGCTTTTTACCTCTACTATTTAGTATGTTATTTGCTTAAACAGTACTGACAAGTCTGCAAATGCTGCTCAAGTGACAAAAAGACTGTATAATATCTAGAAGCAGCTTATTACATTTCAAGGCTAGAATTAGGCAAAAACATTCCTTTCTTTTCTAGCACTACAGAAGAGGAGATCATAAGCTTCACTATTGCCATCCATTTGGCCTCAGATGATTAATTCTAGTTCTATCTGCTAATAGTATAATGTTTGTTCAGCTATTCATAGTACAGCACTAGTGATACATAGCAGTGTTTACTCTTACTTCTATAGTGCCAAATAAGAAAGGGACAAGTCACAACATGGTGTCTGCAATGTAATAAGCTGCTTCTAGATATTATACAGTCTTTTTGTCACTTGAGCAGCATTTGCAGACTTGTCAGTACTGTTTAAGCAAATAACATACTAAATAGTAGAGGTAAAAAGCATAGAATGGTGATCACCAATGAACTTCTGAAGGCTTGTATAGTGTCTACAGCAAGTTTTATTTATAATACTTTAGTGGACACAAGTATAATGTGAGATATTCTATAAAAATTTGGTTGAATTGTGTAGAAAGAGTGTTGAATTGATTTTGTGTAGTCAGTGATAAAAGATGCCAAAAAAGGTTGATGTTTGGCTTTATTTTTATTATTTTTATACTTTCACATCCCATATAATATTCTAAGACATGTGTCATTGATCACATCATGTGTAGGTGGTCTAATTCCATGGTTTTGATATAAAGTCAAATAAGTGTCTCAATGAGTCACTAAACTAGAATAGCCATATCTCCGCTCCATGACATCACTTCCCACGCTGCATATCTCAGATTCAAGCCTGGATACAAGGGATTCAGACATGTCCCTATAGCCCTATTATATTCCTACACTCTGGCTCACAATGATGCAATTATATGAAAATGTGCAAACATTGAGACACTTTTTTGAGCCACTGTAGATATATCTGCCTGCAATAGAAGGCCATTTACCGACTGACATCATCCACACATTTCGTGCCTTTTTGGAATTCTGCTACCTGGTCCAAAAGAATGTTATCACGGAGGACACGATCTCGCAAATAGAAGACACAATTCGCCGGTTCCACCACTACCATCAAATATTTCACTGGCTTGGTGTCATTCCTACATTCTCACTTCCACGTCAGCATTCGATGAAGCACTACCCTGACCTTATCCGTCTTTTCGGTGCTCCGAATGGGCTCTGTTCCTCTATGACAGAGAACAAACATATCAAGGCTGTGAAGCAACCGTGGCGTTGGTTGAACAGGTACAATGCACTTGGGAAAATGCTTGTAACAAATCAATGGCTCGACAAACTTGCCGCCTTGCGCATAGACTTTACCAAACGCGGTATGCTCAACAGTACATGTCTTACAGATGCCCTACATACTGAAGGTTAGTGATTTGGTGTTATGCTATGTCTTGCGCTGATTTCGCATGGATAATTCAGGCAGTACCGATAACGCACCTGATGCACGCGTGAATACCACTGTTCCTGATGTTCAGATCGAATCTGGTGCCAACTTGGATGATGGCAAGATTGATGATGGGCCAACGGAGGTTGAGGCTCAGGTGCAGCTTGCACAAACATGCCATATGTACTAGTTTGATACCCGCTATAACATAACTCATCACAATGACAGAATGCAAATGTGCGTGCACCGTGCCAGCACTTGCTATCAAGCTGTCTATTCCGCACTTACAAGAACTTGTTGGGAGGTTCCTATTTGAACAGCTTCATCCTCGCAACCTTCATGACCATGCAACCATCCCAGCCGAGAGCTTCCCAGTCTATGATGGCAAAGTCTCGGTGGTCAATTCAGCGTCATCAAGATTCTACGCACCCAGTGACCCAAGTGAGATGGGAGGAATGCACAGAGAACACATTTGATCCTGCCTGAGATGGAGGAATGGACCCAGTCGCTATGATTGTGTGTTTACTAACACATGACCAGAGCTTGAAGGAATGCGAGGACTTGAAGTTGCGTGAGCACTGTGCTTTTTCTCATTCAAGTACAAGTGGGTCCTATACAAGTGCAGTGTCGTTCATTGGTTCGATGCCATCAGTGAAGCTCCTGATGAAGACACGGGCATGTGGATAGTTCAGCCATCCTTTGATGGTCATTCACCGAATATTTCTGTGATACACATAAATGCAATCTACCATGCAGCTCATCTCCTTCCTATCTATGGTACTGATTATATCCCTCGCAACATTAATTTTTACCATTTGTTAGATGCATTCTGCGCTTTCTACGTCAACAAGTTCGCTGACCATCATGCATTTGAAATTGTATTTTAATCTAGCTTCGATCCAGAAACCTTCAGCAATGCCTGTTTGTATGCGAGCCATTTGCAGTCGTTCGAAGGCCTCATTCTCCTCTCCTACCCCCCCCCCCGCCTCCGTTAGAGCCGTCTGAGGGCCTCCATCAGTATAATTACACGCCTCTTAATTCAACTTATTTGGAACTTATTCTACTTGGTTTAGTGCCAAAGTCCACTAAGACATCCAAGGTCTCATAAATTCTCATTTTGACTTGGAACACAACTTGAGTGTCTTAGCTCCAAGTTAACTAAGACAGTCAGATAACTCAAGAGCCAAAAAGTTATTTCAAGACAATGTTAAATTCAAAGCACTCTGTGAGTAGTAAGAAATACATTAAGACACCAGCTCAAAAGCATGATGGTCAATAAAATGATTGACATAGAATCCTTGGTAGGCATCTAGAGAATCATGAAATTGAAGGCCCGGAGGCACGATCTGAGTACCGAATATTGGAAGTAGGTGAGCACCACGGATAATACTGTCAATATGGATAATGGACAAGTCACGAGAGCCATCCTCATTGAGAGACAGCGCCACCATCCACATGCCTGTGAGCTCGTCTCGCTCCTCCACAATCCGATGAAACCATTGAATGAGGGCACATGGATATGTGTGACCATTAGTAAAAGTGAAAGATAAAAAGCAAAAAATCCGAACAGCATTCATGCTGAGCATGCCATCCTGCTCGTCATCAATATTGATGAAAGCACAGTCATACCGGCCTGGTCCATTGCACCATGAGGGCACAGTACGAATGTGCTCGCATCGCATGCCAGTGATTCCGCTTGGATCACTTGGTGTGATGAATGTAGCGGAAGCGGAATGGAAAATCTTGATGTGTCCTGTAAAAGACGGACAGTCACGAAGGGGGACATCGGCAGAAGAATGATTGTCATCAGCGTGAATCTGGTCATATAAAAACAGACGAATGAGAAGTGGGAGTGATGGCAAATTAAGTTCGTCTGCAAGTTTGGGAATTGTATGTGCACATTTACGTTCTGAATGTCACATTAATGCTCGAAAGTCGTCAGAAAGTTTGAATACGCACGAGCACAACGTGCCAAGTTCACATCAGCAATAATGTCCTCGTCATCTACAACTCCATCATCCTTGACATCGTCATAGTCGTCAGCTTCCTTGGCGAATGGATTGGTTTTTTCGGGCTGTTGCTCTTCGTGGTTGTTGTTGTCGATGTCTGACTCAGTGCCGTTGTCATCTTCGGGATTGAAGCGATTCTTGACTGGGGATTTAATGAATAAAAGCAAATCAAAATCAAACATAAAGCATGTACAAAATGAATTATAGTAGCTGAAAGCGCAAGAACCTTTGAGCATTCCATGCAATTGAAAATCAACCCTTGCTGCCATGATTTGGTCCAGGCGCTGATTGGTGAGGAGCATCTGACCAAGAGCCTTGTGTTTGCTTGAGCGTCGCCATGATTTCTTTACTGCCTTGATATGTTTGGATTCGGTGATGGATGAACAAAGTCCATTTGGGGCGCCAAACATTCGGATGAGAATCTCATAGTGAACAAGGGAGTGTTGTCGGGGCAGGGAAATGTCAAAGCGGACACTGATAGTCTGGAATATGGTGCGGTATCTATGGAAGCGCTCAAGGGCATCCCTGAGCTCTGTGAGAGTATCATCTGTGATGATATTGGCATGAACGATGTAGCAAAATTCCAGAAACGCTCGAAATGCTCGAACTACATTGTCTGGTACGTGCCCTTCGGTTGCTGGAAGATAGACCTAGTAAATAGTTGCATAAGTGTACACAAGATAATACAAGCATCGGGCTTACCTTCATTAATGCTTTTGAGTCATCACCTGTCCATTGTGAGAATCCACGCCCTTGTGGAAAACACCGTAGACTAGGGAACGAGGGTGCGACAGCAATTCTAGCATGTTGTCAGTTCTCACTGTAAGAAGATGGGAGAAAGCACAATTACCTTTGGTCAATATCATCCATAATCTCTGCCGTGCCTGCTTTTCCATACTCATGTTCGAGATATTTACCCACCCATTCAATCAGGTGGTCCTTGAATGTGCCTTTAATCAGTTGATGCAGCAAGTCAGGAGCAAGCAGCTGGTGGATGTCAGCACGAGGGAAGTTGTCATATCCTGTACCTCCAGATCCGGAATTCCGGATCTACTCCATTAAAAGTCTGGTTCTCCGTCCTGCTATTCCGCCCGGCGCTCCGCCTTCATCTCCGCACTCACCCCTAACTCCTTTTAGATTAGCTATTGCTCCGGTCACCGGTTATGTCCTTTCCGCTATGCTTATTGATCCGTCCATTCCTACTTCATTTCCGACTTCACTGCTTTGATCTGTTACACTTAGTAATAGACTTTCCACATGCTTCATACATAGCCCTTACCTTTGCTGACTGATTTACTTACATGTTACCTACAGTATATAAACCCCTGTAATACTCCAGAACTCTTCAGTTCGAATATCATCTTAGTTCTGCTCATTCCTGCAATCTCCGGACTTGAGTCTCATCTCTTGTCCACCTCCGAGTCTTAGAGGTTAAACCTTAGGACTACTTCTCCGGCTCTACCTTAGGGTAGTCTAACCTCTGTTCTGTTTCTACTCCGGACTTCCATAGTAGCCTTACTCCGTCTCCACATAAGCCTTCCGGAGTTCTGCCGAACTCCACCAACACTAGTCCTCCAGAACTCCCCAGACTTCCGTCGGACTTCCCTTCTGTCCCCCGGAAATTAAAGGGCACGTACTCGGGTAAGGGGCGCAGCACATGAGCTGAAGCCGAAGCCCTTTGAGCAACCTCTCCCTTGAGCACGACCTTAACAGAAGTCATTTGTGAAGGGCTATGCAGTGCAATGGTCAGTGACACGATGCATGATTAACATGCTAGGGAGGACTTACCACTAGCTTGCCAATAATCCCATACTCATCCCAGAGTATACCAAAACTAACCGAATCCACAAGGGCATCAGTATGCTCGCATGACTGCGAAACACCTCCATCATCAAGACGTGTAGGAAATGCGAGACATCTGCCAAAGTAAATAGTGAGACCCTGTATGAAGGAGGTGACAGCAATGTACATAAAAGCAGATATGAATAAGACATCCATAGTCATCACTTGGAGACCACACCATTCAGATGTCAAGTTTCATGGACATGTCACCAATGAATGAGACACTGCGCCCACAGAATCATCACTCAAGACCGCACCATTCAGATGTCAAGTTTCATGGACATCTTGACATGAGGCAGAGACGGACAAGAAGATCTTACATACCTTCCGCACCAATTTTTGACGATACCTGCCAGTACCACTTGCTCTTCGTAGTCTGCAATGTAGGGTCCCAGTCCATAAATAACCCAGCGGTAGTGGCTGTCACCGCACCATGTAACTTCCAGAGTCATCATTCCGGGTTTGAGATTGGCGAGGATTTTTGAAAGTGAGGAATGGAACATCTGCTTCTTGAACTTGCGGAATGCAGGATCATTGACACCTTTTTTGTTCGCTGCAACAAGTAAGCTTCAAAGTAAAGAATGAGAAAAACAGCTAGTACATACTCTTGGGGATTGCCATAAATCCAACCAGAACCAAGCCATTGCGATGTGCACGCCGAATGTTGTTGTGAACATTCCCAATGGAGAGATAGAGCAGATAATAGTCATTTTGACCTGTAGCGACAGACACCGTTGTCTTGTTGCTACCTAGGATGATGGGAATGAAGGCCGTGCCATGTGTTTGTGGGTCTTGTGCGATTTCGTCCTGTAGCAAAATTAGCGCAAAATTGTATGAGTATGGGACACATACTGATTGATGCGAGGCCCAGTCTCCTGACATAAAGTCTTTATAGCAGTGTTTCTTGTCCTTCTCCTGAAATTCACAGTATGTTGTATAATCAATTTTGCCCACATAGTCTGAATTGGCGAGCATGTTCCGCACAATGGCATGAGGGTCCTGGAACCAAACATCATACGACTGTTGCATCCAAAGCGGACAGTCTTCTGCAGGTTTTTCGCCACTGAACTCGAGGGAGAAGCTTTGCCATGCAATGTCACCTAATAGTGTTGCATCAATAGTGTTGTATAGATCTTTGTGGTCAGCGAATGGTGGATTGTCGTGATGGACAGCAAGCGTGATACCCCAGTAGTAGAGGATCTTGTCAATTTGGTGGGCTGACATCTGGTTTTCGGTGTACAGGAACTCGGCAGCCTCAAATTCTAGCCGGTTGCGGTACAGAGTCCAGTCGTCAGGACTCTTCATAGTGTATGGTGCGGGAGGAGTACCAGGATTGAGAAAGTTGCCATTCTCATCACAAATTTGACCTGTAGGTGTAATTTTCTATTAAAGATGACTATCACCTGCAACAAGATTATTGTACTTACCAGTCAGTGCCTCATGGTAGTCTCAAACGAGTCCATGCCTAAACTCCCAGCGCTCCTCGTCCTTTGTGAGTTTTGGGGCTTCTTCGTCTTCAACCTCTTGAACAGAAGCACGTCGTGAATGTGGCACTTGACCAGAGTGAGTAAATGAATAGCTGTGCATCGCACTTTGGTGGGATTTGAGCCCAGAGGCGTTTTTCAACCAGCATTTGCACCCAGGGTATGGACACTGAATGCGATGGGCACTAAATGCCCGTCATTTGAGCTGTGTTTGAGGGACGTCGTGGTCTTCAGGCATGTTGAGCAGACCTGTGCAACTTGAGAGGGCTAAAAAATAGCAAGTATTAGCAAACCTGTCGTACTAGAGTGAATTGTAATATACTACATACACAGAACTGGTGCGAGCAACACATAACTCTTTCAAAGTCCCTTCTCAACCTCCCTACCCTCAGCGAAATTTTCACATCTACCAATGAAGCCTTTTACAAGAATGACGCGGCCAAACACTCGTCCTAAAAATGCGAATCAACATCCTGGTGAGATTGTTCTCAAAACAAAACAGAAAAGACGTACTGGTCGTCAAATCCAGGAAGACAATGACCACATTGAGCACGAGCAGCAAGAACAGGAAGCTGCAGTTCAGCGTAATGCCGAGCGTATTGCTGCTATTGAGGACCAGAGAGCCTTGAACGACCTCAAGATCATTATGGATCCACCAAGGCCAAGGCCTCAGGCACGACCTGTGTTGAAGGTGAAGAAACCAGTTGGTATAGCTGAGGAGGAAGATGTTGAAATAATCGATACTGTAGACAAAGATGGTGTTCAGCCAGTGGAGGGCAATCCTGAAGAAGTACAGACTCACCATAACAATGCTGAGACTGACCACATTATGTCCAGTGATGAGGAACTTGCAGAGGTACAGCCAAGGAGGAAGCATGTGCAGAAAATGGCACACCGCGAAGCTGTCCAGGTCGCATGCCTTGTTGATAATGTGGCAGGCATCAATCAAAAGAAGGATCAGTACACAAGAGATGTTGAGGCACGTGTTACATCGATAAGTGACCAGAAAGGGAAGAAAGGAGTGTGAGTTATCATTGTTCCCAACTATCATGTTATTACTGACTGAAACAACTCTCTTTCACCTTGATATCCTTGACTCATTCAGTGCGGCTGATGTTGGTATGGAAAAGGACGACTATGCAGGCATCAGCAAGACAAAGGATTGGGCCGAGAAACTCGCAACTAGCAAGTTACTCAGGCCTTCTGTTTCTCACAGCATTCGAACAGCGACACACACCCATGTTTCCTCACTTGCAACTTCGACTGCTGTGTCAAAGATCACACATGGGAGTTTGACCAGCACCAATCCAGGTCCTCCTCCTACTCCAGCACGCAGCATCAAAGAGTCAGACTTATCACTACTGGACGACAATGATTCACTCGAGCGCGAGGCTGCTTACCAGGCCAGTAAGAAAACTCAGGCTGGTGACAGTGCTAGACGCACAACTTCAGTAAGTCCTATTTTTTTCATTTACATCATGCTTACTCTTACCTCAGGATGTGGTTAAATTCAGTAGCTTGTCATCTCCACATACCTCACGCCCAGTGTGTGCGCCATCCCAACAAATCACAAGGACCGAATCATTGTCTTCTCCTCCCCCTTGTACTCAACCATCGAGGGCAACTGCCAGGATTCCATGCTGCCCTGAGCTCATGTCGGATTTGTCTATGGAACTTTACGAGCCCAATGATACTGAGGAGGCTGAGGATGAAGCACCCTCTGCACCTGTAGTGGGAAAAGGCATCAAACGCCTCACCACTTCAGCGAGTTTTCACTTTTTTCACTATACATAGTACCTGTCTGACTTTTTTTGCGAAATTTAGACTGATGTTGGTATCAATAGCCATCATGTGCCTGCTTCAAAATGAGCAAAGACGGAATCACACACCACGAGCGTCACATCTCGCCGTGATGGCAGTGGCACTAATCATCGGTACCAGAACGACGATCTTCCGGATGGCTGTCAGCACAACAACACCTGGTGTCAGGTATTCATACCCACAGTTGCAAACTGGGCTGGTGGAGATGTCGAGCCGTGGGGCCCTGACAACCATGAATTAAGGGACGTCATGCAAGATATCTGGGACCATATATACAAGGGTAGGATTGAACATGAAATCTCCAGTTCTGGCGCTGTTTTGAAAGTAGTAAGTCCATCTTTCTCATATTGTTCGAGTCTACTGAAGTTTGAAGGCCAAACAACTCCTCATGGAATGGCGTGGAGGGTTTGGCATTGCCGCTTGTTCCATTCTTACAGCATTTTGTGCACAGGACACTAATTTCCTGGATCCAGAGGCTCACAAGGACTTTTCGCGAGCCATGCTGAAGCAAAACCGGTTTATATTCAGGGATAATGCTGGGCTCGCTCCCAAGGTAAGTAGCATCATTCATTACTATTCAATGTCAATTTTAATTATCCGTTCAAAGGCTTGGACAGGCATATGGAGGGCCTCCTTCATACTCCAGACCTTCGCATCCCACCTCAATTTTACCTACGGCCATGTTGGAATTCCCAATCTCGACACCAAAGCAATTGGTGCGCGGGCTGCCTTTACCCTTGCTGTCACTGCAGTGAGTCGTGTTTTATTTCTGTTGTATTAGTATTCTTTATATTCTCACAGGTGTGCTGTATTCTTCAGCTAGTTGTAGACGGGAATATCACCTTCGAAATCATTTCAGAAACCCGCGGCAAATGCACTAAAGCTACGAAGATAGGTGACGGAGATATTTGGACACCCGTCATCAAGAAGGGCGAGCAATTTGCCTTTAGCAAACCTGCCTGGGGCCCTATGACCCAGAAATTCATGCAGCCCATCATAGCGCTTCCTAATGAGGACTTCGCGAGCATAGTGCAAGAGGCACAGCAGTATGCCAAGCATCCGAGAAGTACTGGGAGCTCGAGGGCCACCAGTAATGTCACGCCTGATGAGGATGATGGCTTTGCTGACCTGTTTGCATTCTGTTAAAGGTAAGTTTCCTTTACTCTCACCTTTAATATGCGTTCATTCACGATGGGCATAGTATTCAATATTGCATTTGCTTGTTTGGACTGGCCACCACTATCTACCACATTCCGCGCTCCTCGCCGCACATACTATTCACCCATTAATGATTGATCCTTCTTACTATGTCTATTGATGTCTTACTTTCACGGCTCGTGCTTATCTGCTTCTTATTGCATCTTTCTAGTCTTGCTTAACTTGGAGCTTATTTGTCTTATTTTACTAAATTCAAGTGCTGTTAAGTTGCATGTCATCTCAAGACCAGATGCTTTGATTAAGACGCTTGTCTTAGCATAAGACCGTCTTATTTCGTCTTAGTTGTTAAAATAAGCTTGTTAAGTTAAATTAAGAGGTGTGTAATTTTACTGATGTCGTTATCCTCTCCTACTACCCTCCTGCCTCCGCCGCCTGAAAGTTCAGGTGGTGTTCGAGCCGTTTGTATGGTTTTGCAGTCGTTCGAAGGCCTCGTTCTCCTCCCCTACTACCCTCCTGCCTCCGCAAGCCATTTGTATGGTTTTGCAGCCGTTCGAAGGCCTCGTTCTTCTCTCCTACCACCCTCCTGCCTCCACCATGGTTTTGGAGCCGTTTCGAAGGCCTCACTGTCCTCTACTTCATGTATTATTAGTATACTTACCATGACAATGTAAAAATATTCTCTGATCACGCTGAAATTCACTTATGCGTCTTACACTACAACATCCACTTGAACTGTGTTTGCAGAAAGTGACACCAGCAGGATAAGCAATGTCAGAGGTTTGCTTTATTTACTTAGCGACTTTTTTCAGACGAGTAATACAAACAAGACCGAAAAGGAAATGTGAGATTTTGCTGATGTAGCAACGGACCATTGGTTCGAAGCGTACAAATCGATTAAACATCTACAAAGTTTGGTTTGTATGAATACTGCGGATGTCACCAAAAAAACACCAGAGGTAAACCGCTCTACAGGCCGACATGATCCTTGGCTCGTTCTTCATAGAAGCCGCGTCTAAGAGTATGCCGACCGTGATGGCCACCCCAATGGCGATGTAGCCATTCACGCCCAGAGCAACCATACAGAGAGTTAGTAAAATTACAACACATCAAAACTGGAATTAAATCCAAAACAGAAGAGCCTACCGCCTGCGTGCGAGGAACGCCAAAGAGTAAACGAGAGAAAACTACATCGTGCGAAAGCAACCGACGAGACACAGGACCTCCGATCCCACCAACTTGGATGCTTGCTGGCACTGAGCGAAGTTTTATAGTCAATGGCAGTGCTCTGTGTTTCGGACAGTTCCTTACCTCCTGTAGCATCGTCAATTGCCTCCGCTATCGCGCTGGCTAACTTGAACGACGCTATGTAACACACTTCCATGCAGGAGAACTGGATCGACAAGAATGTCGGCGAGTAATAAACCATGCTGGAAATGGAGTCGAGGTTTTGAATGGGTGGAAACAGCACGCGTATAATATTCGCAAACATAACCAGTGATTGCTGTGAAAACGGACAAGTCAGTTTTGCAAGACAGAATGTAAATGAACGGTAGACTCATGCCCTCTTGGATTCCCATCATCGTATCGCGTAAGCGTTCGTTATACTTCTTCCAAGCTGTTTGCCTTTCTCACCTCCTGCCATAATTCCTCGAGATCAAGCTGTCTGAGAAAGAAGCCGCAGAAGAAGGTAAACCAACGCCGAATGCGGGCATCTGAGGTAAGTTTCCATTCATCAGGAAGGTCTGTGAGCTACTTTTTGCTGTGTCCGTGTGTGGAAGGTGAGATAACATCCATCTTCGTCTTGTCTTTAGAGATGTCACTGCCCGAATCAAGAGAGGAAGAAATAGCTGTCTAAATAAATTGGACATATTCGGCGGTGGCTAGCGACGGGTCTTGTTGATTTTTAGAAGCGGTCCAGACGGAGAATGATTGTGAGAGGACGTCAGCAGAAACAGCGCGCATATATTGGCGTTGTAGATGAATGAGACGGAATGCGAGGTGCTCGTTGGCGAGTGACGTAGTTGAAATCTACTTTGCCTCTGGACACTGGACAGCTGAAATCATGCGCTAAGTGTTTGGTAAGAGGCAAGCTACTACTTATATACAGCAGTGGTGACGGGGATAAGCTGTGGTGAAGCAGGTAGAGCTGGCAGGGATATGTGAGGATAGTGAGGATACTGGAATATCTAAATTTGGTAATATTTCAGGCGTTAGTGCTGGTTTGGGACACCGGAGAATCTCAGAAGCCATTAAGCTTAATTGTGTGGGATCTGTGGACTACAAATAAACTTACAAAACCTCCTCATTGCTTACTAGCTATGGTTAAGCATAACCCTGGCATGTACAGGTGACGAATTGAGTTCAAGAACTGGTCGAGGTACACGATCATCAAGGGTAAATTCGATATACTCCGTAGTTGAACTGTGTACTTCTAAATTGATTGGAAGTCGAGAGGATGCGGATAAGATGGACGAGCCTCCCGCGTCACAATCATAATCAGTCGAGGAAAATGATAATAAACCGGTGTCGAGGGTAGGAGGACATTTTGTGATGTCACATAGGTCATGCATCCAGATCTATATCGTGTTTGAGATGTTCCTCGATTTATTCGCGCTCATGAGATGGCTCAAAAACACACTGGTGTCCTGCAGAATGGTGAAGTTTGAGTGTCCCCGACGCTAGCTCCTTCTTCCTTCTGAACTTTTAAGTTGTACATTCATGCAAAAACGTTCGCAAGTTGAGTAACATGAGTGTCGCTACACAATTCATGAGGGTGGATTTCTGATGTTATTCAAGAGTCTGGTTGAAGCAGCAGGAAACTTTGTCCTGGAGTAAGCATACTATCGACCAACTCTGCAAAAAACTTCATATCGTGCGATCAACCACTGTACCAATGCAGAGGCAGAAACACGACTCACTGTCCCAACATATTCAGTCTCCCTCCCCATTCGCATGGCATGTAGATCCGGAAGGCTATTGGTTCAAGGCGCGAAGGATGAGTCATGGGGTTGAATCCCGGATACAAAGTCAATGGACTCATACTCACATGCGACACACAATGAAAACCTGGGCAGCATGTTGTGCCGTGCGCCGATTTCCCACAACCCCTGTTTTGAGTCACGCATGCACTGACAGACATAAATGTTGTGCAAGCAGTTAAAACAGCGAGAATGAATGAGGAACGCATGGCTTGTGCTAGGTAGTATGAGATGGGGATCTCGAGTAATAGCTCTGATACCGCCAGTAGGAAGACGGCTTGCTTTTATGTCCTAGAATATGTTCTTGGCGAAGTACTCCGCAGTTCTATTAGGATGGTTGAGCCTGCCAGATTTCAGGCAGAGAGTGCAGGCAAAACCTGTGACAGGTTCGGCGGACAAACAATCTAGAAGATATGGAGTGTAAACGTACGAACTTTGTTCATCGTAGCATACTAGTCCAGGAAAGTCCTGGCGACGGAGGGAGGTTCTCAGACGCGTTGGGAAACGTAGGTCATCCGTGGAGCCAATTTTATGGAAAAAACCATCTACCTCGGACCTATACACAGATACAAAGAGGCACTCGACTCCTTCTTTAGAGCCAGGTAGAGGGCATCCAAATTTGCCCGTGGTACGACCGAGTTAATACGGAAGATCCGACCATTGGCAATAGAGGAGAGCAGTACTTACTTGACAGTTATCTGGATATAATGAGGTAGCACGCAAAAAAAAACCCTTCTCCAGTACCTACTTGACAGTTATCTGGATATAATGAGGTAGTACACAAGAAACCCCCCTTCTCCCAACAACACCCCAAAACTAAATTCAATGAAAACACACCTATAATGCTGAGCATAGCTCGCAGTCTCAGAGGAGCCTTTCAAGGTCCGCGCCACGCAGGAGGTGTTCTCGTACACTGAGGTATCTGTATAGTTCGGCTTAATATTGTTCTTTAGTGGGTTGAAAAGTTGGTAGGAAGGATGCGGTAGAATGCTGGTATGGGCGTAGCGGAGAAGGATGGTACGGATGCAGCGGATGCAGCGGAGAAGGCTAACGCGCGTGCATCATCGTGTGTCTAGAGCACCAGGTACCGTATCCCTTCCGGTGCAATTGGCACCTTACAGAAGCGGCAGGTCACACATTTTGGCCGGAAAACGTGACACTTCTGTTACAATTAGTCACATGCAGTCACACAAAACCCTGCGAGGAACGCATAGCTTGTGCTAGGTGATATGAGATGAGGATCTCGAATAATAGCTCTGATACTGCCAGCGGGAAGACGGCTTTCTTTTATGTCCTAGGCGCTACTAATCAGCAAATCACTTTGCTTCTGTGGCTTCTGTACAGAACTGTACAGAGCCCATAGAGCCTCACAGAGCTCTACAGTGCAAAGTGTTTTGCTAATTAGCAGAACATTCCCTTCGCCAAGTACTCGGTTCTATCAGGATGGTTAAGCCCCGCAAATTTTAGGCAGAGAGTTCAGGCAGAGCCTGTGACAGGTTCGGCGGAAAAACAATCTAGAACATGTGGACTGCAAAGGTATGAACTTTGTTCACCCTGTAGACAATGTCGAGAAGTAGTACCGTCCGCGTGTCAATGGCGATTGGATGTGTAGTCATGGAGAAGGCAAAGGTGGAATCTGAGACCTAGCGCTTTCGTGGAGTACTAGTCCCCTGGCGACGGAGAGAGGTTCTCAGAGTAGGTCTTCCGTGGAGCCACTGTTATGGAAAAACCATCTGCTTCGGACCTATACACAGATACAAAGAGGTACTCGACTCGTCCTTTATCAATAGATATACCCTTAGAGCTAGGTAAAGGGCATCCAAATTTGCCCGAACTATGCTAGTTAACGCGCGTCCCTCAGAGCGCTAAGTACAGTCTGTATAGATGTGTCACCTGTGAATTTGCCTGCATTCGATGACGTTCTTCTATTTCTGTCATCAACCCATCTCACTGGTAAACGCTCACCTAGCATGACTTGTTCTTCTCAACATTAGCGAACAGCAGGGTTCA